ATGCCTCTGGTGCCGCCGGTGCTGGTATTGAGGTGGGGCACGCAACGTATCGAACTCAGTTGCTGCGGTGCCGCCAGACCTCGTTCGTAAGACCAATGTTGACAACAAATTCACAGGTTCGCTTGTACAAATCACTGTTCAAATCACTGCCTGGAAAACCGGATTTCGATACCACGAAAGCAGATGCATGTGCGAAGCTATGCCCCGTCATGGTGCACAGGTACTTCTGTTTTGTTACAATGTACAAAGCCACTCATTAGTCACCCTACCGCTCCACAGCTTTGTTCGTGCGACTAGGAGCACGGGTGCCACACCCCTGCCCGTGCTGAAGCATTTCAATCAATTTCTGCACACAAAGGACAGAGTCAACGCATACAGGAAACGAAAAACACACAAAGCGGAGGGAGAGAAAACCAAGCATGCAAAAAAAAACATCTGGCATGGAAGCAGCGGTTGGAGCATCACAGGAACAAAGATGCATCATCGTATGCAAGCAAAGCTACTCGCATGTACAGCAGACACTAGCAAGGCAAAAGCGATGGGATGAACCTAATATAGGGGCCATAATTGCCTATACTATTTTTTGGGGGCTCCATACTATAACAATAGTATAATGGCCCCAAAATCCCAGCCTAATTATCAAGGCCCCGATAGTAGCATTTCAACACAATTGCAAAGTGCAATCCTGCCTTCTTAGCCAGCGTGCACACCATCTTGATGACCTCGAAGCTCCTGCTCGAGCTGGTCTACTGGGTGCCACATGAGAAGGAACATCGGAACAACAAAAAAAAGCACTAGGATTCTCCCTCTCACACCGTGACTACTCGTAGCTCCTGATGTCGATGTCAGGCTGGGAGCTGTTGGATTGAGCCTGGCCTCAGATGCGACACTCAGCAACCTACGATCAGCGTGGGATGGGGGAAGTTCGGTGCGACGCAAAAGAACTGATGTGCTGCAACATTTGTGGCACCTGGGACACCTGCTGTGCTCGTTCACCTGCCGTCGCTGATCAAATCGGCGGCCACTGTGACTCCGACTATGAGACTCCAGCAAACAGGCACGGCAGTTGTAGGCGACTGTTCACCCACCACTCGTTCACACGCTAGCAACCCAACACACCCCTGCAATGAGGGATCCGGGCGCCTGCAGAAACATGGCCTTGTAGACGCTCGCCTGGAAAGATGAGCTCCGAGCTCAGCACTGCTTCAGCCGACAACAAGTTCATGCTTACAAAACCAAAGCTGCACAACATGATGGTGTTCGTTGAGGGGGCTGAGTTGAAGGCTGCAGGGTCTTTGGCGATTAGCCTTTAGGAGTCTGCCGTTGAGGGCTCAGGGACATTGAGGTTCAGGTTTCATGGGTTTGAAGCTTGGGGTATCGGATCGGGTTTTCAGCACGCCGAGCTGCAGGGAGCAGTCGGACTACACGGTTCGAGCTCACACGAACACCTCCCTCGATCACTTCCCAGACGTATCCAGCCCATGGCGGCTGACCTCTTCCGTTGTCCGGATGGCAGCTGTGCTCGGTTGCGACATGGGCCGGGACAGACTATCGCTGACAGGAGCTTCGCCTGAGATCCAGAAGCACACTGCGAGCTCTGGGACGTACCTAAAAGACCGATCCAAGCGCCGCACTCGTAGCGGAGACGTCCTCGACTGGCAGCGCTGCCTGTCGGAAGCGGGAGCTGTGCCAGTGGTATTGAGAATTCGTCTGCCCCCGTCCCGGAGTCAAAGTCGGCTGAATTGGGTTGTGTTCCAATCGAAATTCTTTCGAGTTGTCGCCGACTCGACCTGAAATCGAATGCTGTCGGACTCGAATTGAAGTTCGGCGGCACTACTTTCTGCTACAAGTATGTAGCTACTCAGGACCCGTTGCGAAAAACTCCGCATGACTCGAACAAAAATACGAATATGCGAAGGTAACGGCGAAAACGAACAACACGATTGCTGTCACCCAAACAGCATACATGCACATGCATTTTTAGCACTCGCTCTCGACATAGCAGGCATACACATGTCTACATTACTCTGGCCATTCCGGAGTGCACAGAGAGCCTCTATCTTCGATCTTGAACACAACAGCTCGGAACTTGACTCCCTGTTTGGGAAAAAGCAACAATCCAGGCTGTGAAGCCAAGGGTCTTCAGGCCGTTGAACTCCATGAAGTTCCGGCACACGTCAAGGCCGAGCCTTTCCGCGACAGCTTTCAACATAGGCAGAGGTATGAGACAAACCTAACGGGGGACTCCACAATGGTTTCAGGGGAATTCCTGCTTGAACTCCACTTTGTGGTCTTGTGTTAAGTCATGTGCCTTTCCTAAAATGCGCGCTTCACTGTGTGGCACACTTAACCCCAAACCCTCCAAAGGCGTTCCATAGTAAGGGTTGAAGAGAATAGCGGCTTGTAGGGTTGTTTCGGGATGATGATGTGGGCTCAGAGCTTAGCAAACATGGAACTCATCCGTTCCCATTTCTGTTTCGTTTAGTATTTTTGGGTTGGGCCTCCGTTGCTGAGAAAGCCCAACCAGACATGTGGATCCTAATGCAGCGAATTTCGGCAGGCGCGCACGTCTGTGTTTAGGGCATGCTGCTGAAAGCTAGGCCCTAAGGCAACCTATGTCTCGGAGCGGCAAGTTGAATACAGAAGTGCCAAATCACTTGGGGCTTTAGTGCCCTTGGGCCTGGACACAACCACGACGTCAGCAGATGTACTGGGGATACCATGCTGATAGATCGCTGAACCCGTGCCTCGCTGCACCACGCAGCAATGAACACCGGCCCAACCGCTTGGAGCAGGCCACGGAGGCCATGTCTCAGGCTTATCTGAACCGAGCAGCTAGCAACTAGTGGCTGTGAAACACAATGCATACTGGAATTGAAGGTTCAGTGCTTCGGAAGACATGGGAGTCATTTGGCAGAGTGCAAGCAAACGGATCGCGCTTCCAACGCCTGAGCTCCACCAGCTGTCAAGACTGTCGAGTATCACCAGCATTTAGTCACAGGCAAGGTCTTCACGGTTCGAACCCGATGTAGGTCTAACATCATGCTTAGGTTGCTTCGGGCTTGGGACTCGAGTCCTCAAAACTTACTAAAACTGTAACCACCCTCTACTGGCTGTAAACTCGTCAAGAAGACTTCAACCGTCGCCGAAACCTAGTCAAAAACGTGAAACAAAACACAACGAAACAACCTAGACACTGGCAAAGACAGAAGAAATACCTGTTGGCACGACCTTGGACGCCTATAGATGGGATCTGAAATTTTCAAGTTTCTCGAGAGGAGCTGAACAAACCGAAACGATGAGGTTTGGCACCATAACCTCAGAATTTTGGAGATCTATCTGCGCCTAGGGCGAGGCAGACTACCATGTATCTCAGATTCTGACTGCCTGAAACGCATATCGTATCTAGGAAACCGTCGAGAAGCTCAACAATAAAGACAGTCATCACTAGACAGACATAGTGGAGTGTCATATGCCAGGCTGGTCCTATGGAACATTGAATGTTATACTTTAAAAGAAGGCCGGTTCGTCGATATGCTGGACACGTAACAACGACTATGTGATAAAGTGTTGGTTCAATGTGTCCACATTCGATTGAAATCTAGAGCTTCGAGATTGAATTGTAATAAAAACGTGATTAACATAGTACTAGTAGAAAGGAACATGCGAGCACCGAAATAAATATCATGAAAACTAGGGACGCACTCCAAAATTAGAAAGAATGGGGTGGTAATTTAAACGCAGAAGAAACATCAAATCGCGAAATTGAAGATGTTTAGTTATCTTCTCAATTCTAAGATACTTAGGCTTCGAAGTTCTGTGTGAACCAATCAATGAAGCGAAGTTTGAAGGGGAGACCGGAACTCGTATTTCCAAGTTGCAGGATCGGATCTTGTAAATCACGTTGATATGCAGGAACGAATAAGTTGTTTAAGTTGACGCTTGCATTTTACACATTTGCGGAAACAACCAGGAACTGCTTTTTTTTCTTCTTGCGCTTGAATGGTGAAAAGAACATTTAGTTATAATTTCCTAAACGCAGTGGCCTATGGTTAGTCAGTAATCCGTTTGCTGGCATCTCAGCCTTGAGCTGTGCCAACTCATGTTCATATTTGCTGGCTGGCGACCAAGAAGTTTCTGCGAGAGTCTGCGCGAGACTACCGAAGAAGTCCCAGCTTCCAGTCCAAGTATGGTTGGTGTAAGTAGTCCAGCGGGTTGTGGCATGTTGTGGCTCAGTTGGCATCAGTTTATGGTAGTCAGCCTTGTCGGAGTCTTACGAGTACTTCGGTTTCTCTCAGGTGGGCTTGACTCTGACCGTCAAGTCGCGACATCATGGTCCCATACATCCCCTCGTTCATCTGCGCACATCTGCGAAAGCTACCTGTAACCATCCGTTGGAAACGCACTGTCTTCATTGCTGAACAACTGTTCTCACAATCCAGCTCTATAGTTAACGGTTCCTAGTTTGTTCCGGCGAGGTCATTCACTTTATCAGAGCTGCTTCCAAACCATAGTCAATAGTCAGAGTTCTGCACAGTCCGGCTGGCATCTCTTTGATGCATCCGGCAGGACCTGCTACATGGGAGCGTTTCAATGAACCGGTGGCAGCGACTGGCGCAGGCTCTTGCTGCCGGACCGAAAAGAGCCTCTCACTCGTGCTCTTCGGGGTTCTGCGTGTTCAGTGTGGCAAAAGCCACGTCGACGCTCCAGAGCGGAATGATGGCTTCGCGCTCAGAACCTCTTCTAATGTCTTCAGATGTGTTGTCTTCGCCGATGCACCCCACATCAGCACCATCGATGTCCTCCGACTGCCCTGATTCCTTTTCGACGGTCGCACACAGAGGGCGCATTCGCCATTCCATTCTGTTGGAACTGCGGAGGCACCTGCAGGAGTGCGCAAACTTCGGTGAGTAGAAGTGGTTGACAAACTGGCTGTGCCGGAGGTCGACCGCGGCGACCACCAAAGTCACCAAGGTAGCAGACTAGCGGAGCCTGGATCTTCAAGTGAAAGTCCTCACATCCCCAGTATGCTGGATCTGCAAAGCAAAGTCAACAAAGACAAAATGCTGCTGATGATGTTGCAGCTAGCACTGTTTCCACACCTAAATTTGCTGGTGATGTGGTCGGATGAGTCATGCTGGTGTATATGTCTGAGAGAGCAGCGATTCATCCACACGAGGTTCGAGCGTCACGAGCATCGTATGCTTGATCCACACAGCGTGGACTGTGGAATTCAGTATATGATCCAGGCACCTTTCTTGCCTCTTGCCTGCCTGCCTGGTACAGGTCTCCTGCTGAGACCGGACAAGACTTGAAACTGAGAAGCGCTGGGTGGCTGGTTGCCCGATGCAGGAAGACAGTCCTTGTCCAACGTCTTCGTCGTAAAACTTCCAGTGGGCTAGGAGCCGGCTCCTGAAGAAGTGCAGTTGCAATTCCGCAAAGAATCTTGTATGGGGCCATCAACTCATTGTCAAACCCCGCTCCCAGCTTGAGGAGTTCCAAGCCATGCCATACGACCATCCATGATGGTCGGTTTCAGGTCCTCATTTGGGTCCAAGCGGGTGCAAAACAGTGGTGAGCAGTGGCTCGGGCTCCGACCGGTTTCAAGCTGCCAATCTGAGGTAGGCCGATAGAGGCTCCCGATCCTGAGCGACGACGACTGCTCCGCCCGAAGACCTCTCCTGCCTTCGTTCGGCTGTTACTCTTGCATGAGTACCACCTGTACTCCAACCAGGCGTAGTCCTACCACTCCCTTTGTATACTCTTGATCATCTTCCAAGATTGATCTTTTCTGAATTTGCCCCGCCTGCAAGGAGGAGTCTTGCTGCCCGCAGCTTGCAAACCTTCGTATGTCGCAGGTTGCTTAGTCTCGCCGTCATGGGCATCATACACCATTTCCAACAGCTCTGGATTGTCTGGATTACAGACACTTGCGCAACTGCTGAGGGCCACACGTGTCAAGCCTCAAGCTTCAAGACTGGACCAACGGACCCACAATCACCCCGCATTTCTTGGCACAGCACGCCCCCTCAACCAAACCAAACCTACACTCCCGAACACAGCACTGAAGCATCCGCTGCCACGTCTGTCTGACTTGCTCTGCATGAATCTTCGTACATCTGCGGTGCTTGCAATCCGGCTTGGCCCCAGTATCAGGGCCCAGACTTCGTGCATCAGTACAAGCCAAATTACTTCTTCATCGCCGGCTTCTCGCCTTCTGAACGGCATCCTGCTACGAGTACGTGGACCTGCGCCCTTACTTCTCGAAATCCGCTCTGCTGCGATTGTGCTCGAACGAAATACCTGATTCTGTTTGGGCTCACTTTCAAGAAGCTAGGACCCTAGGACACACCAGGCCGACAGCCACGATCCAAGTGCCATGCCTAGCGACAGGTTCGGGTGGCGCCGCCTTGGAAAAAGCGAAGAAGTCTCTTCACACAGTCACATCTCGCGGGCCAGCCCATGAGATTGCAGCCCGCGTGTGTCCACCCAGCGCCACGTCAGCCCAGCATCCTTCGGAAAGTGCAATACACGAAATGTGCTGAACTGGAACTGTCAAGCAAGAACCAGTCCGTTGGGAGGAAGGGGGTCTTCCATTCGGAGGCCGTTGGAAGTCTGCCTGGCGGCATCTCGACGTAGCTCTCCCTTGCAAAGCTTTCCAAGGCTCCGGCGCTCAACTTCCCAAACCACTAGCTTCCGCAAGCCAGCTCCAGCTGCTGCATCCTCAGACACAAGCTACAACGCGTGCACATGTCCATATCCAGTCCAGGCCGAAGCTGGAGACAGCTCGGCTTTCTCGGCATCTTGATGAGCATCTCCCATCCGTAGTCTTGCTCTTTTCCCGATACTGTACTTACTTCGGAAGAGATGTTCTAGTTGCAATGTTGCCGTCGCTTCCTGATCGGATAGCCGTTGATGTTGGGCATCCGGGTCGGTTCTCTGCCACCGACAGAGCAATGCAGTCAGTCTGGTACTCAAGTATTCCCGAATCACCAGCGTGGATGTACAACTATGATGTGGAAAACGGATAGTGCGGTCGCCTTCCTAAGCAAAGCAGGATATTGCAGGACTGTTTTTCCTCTTCCTGGCCGTTTACAGATTTATGGAGGGCAATCCCGCTCGATTTGTGTAGCTAATTCGCGAAAAATCATGGGTAGAGAGGACTGTGGTGCGGAACAGGATCGGAATGCCCTCTCAGAATACTTGCTGAGATTGTCATCTTAGAGGCTCAACAGCTGCACAACTTGACACGTGCTGTAAGAAACACTGTTGTACGAGTTTACCCAAACAGTTGCACTGAGGCGGTCACACCCTGTGGTTCCGAAAGCCTGGCAAGTACTGGTTGATGCTTCAGTTGCGATCGACATCTTGCCTGTGTTGGCCAGCCAGCAGTGCTGGCAGTACGCAAAGAAAGGCCAAGGAGATGGTTAATGCGGTGAATCGGAATATTGAACACCGGCAACCTAGGAAATGCCTCTCGTCAAACCAAAACTAGCCAGCAACTAATGGAATAGGGCCTCGAATTTTTATCTTCGCTTCGAAATGTCTTCGAAAATGTCGACCAGGACGCGATCCTTTCACGCAAACTGGCTTGCACATCATGCCGCCAGTCCATGCGTGTCTCTGGCTTTTTGCAGCATGCTCCTTCCATCTTCCAGAGCAGACCGGAATCCAGATACCAGTGCATCCCGACTTGCCTGCAAGTGGAGTTGAGCAGATTAGCTCACTGGCTATGCTGATTATGCTGGACATGCCGAACAAGCTACCAGTACGCGCTGCTAGACGCTTGCTGCCTGCCCAAGTGGTGCAGAGAAAAGAGGCAGGGCCTGGATTCAGCTGCAACGTCAACAAACCATCTTCCCGACCAAGTGCTGCTCTCGAGCAGGATTTTGCCCAGGACCCCTGCCAGGGTGCCGCTGATGCTGTCCTTTGCCACTCTCGCACTCTCGCAACTGGAAACAGTGTTTCTGCTCTTTTTTGAGCACGGATCTTTTCCAGACTCTGAGTGGGAGGCAGTGTGTAACTCAATCACCCGACCACCCTCCATCTCTGTAACTGCCTGGGAACGCATTGCGGGCTTCAAAGCGGCTCTGCTGGCTTGTGCCTCGCAGCTGAGGCTGGGGCTGTCATGTCTTGGAAATGGAAGCCACGAGCTTGCCTGGGTCACCGGTGATGCTTTCCAGTTGACGCTCGCTCGGCGTCTCAGACATGGGCCGTTGTGCCGCGTCGTCGGGCTCCAGACGAGCTGATGACCTGCGGAACTAGAGGCTTCCCATTGGAGCCTATGTTTCTTTTGGTGGCTGCAGCTGAGATTCGGTGACGGCCTGCTGAGATCCTCGGATGATCTTGCATACCATTGCTTCCCGTAATTAGACCCCTTTCAGCGGCCCTTTTCAGTCCTGAATTCCGTAGACAACGGTGTTGATAGGTTTCAAGGCCTGAGCAACAAAGAGCCGGTGAGCCAAAGAATAACATGCTATGATATGCTATGCTGCTGTGCCCTGCCTGTGCAGTCAGTCGTGCGCTTGCTCCACCTGACCTCTTTGAGGCCTCGGTATTGTCGCGCTCTGGGAAGGCCGAAGCACGAAATGCTTCGACTGAGATCGCTGGCTCACTGGAATCCCCTTGCAAGACGTTGCTGGCATTGCTTACGTCCAAGGCACCCGCCGCAGTTTTCTTGGCTTCTGCAGCTTCTTGGCGAACCTTTCCATTGTAACAGGGCTGGAGCTTCTGCTTTTGTAGCGGAGTACACTTCAAAAGCCCAAGAGCATCCCGGGTTCGCGACATGAAATGGTATGTCTGCAAGGAGGCAATGCCTGTGGCAGGCACTTCAGAGCTGAAGTCGAGACTTTCTCTCTTCCCCTTTGCTTGGCCCGCAGCGTCCCGAACAACAGCAGCACTGCCACCTGAAGCGAACTCTGGCACGCCATCTTCATGTGCACTCCGTCCTCGAGGAACGTTCTAGCAAATGCAGCAAAACGATCACCAGGTTGTGGGTGTTCGTTGCGCCTGTGTGCCGTGTTGCGACGTCAGAGGGACAACCTGCAAGCCACCAAGCCCGCGCACATGTTCGACCCTGTGTCATATCATGTGAGGCAGGGCTTTCGCCGTTTTCACCAAACAGCTTGCATCTATGGCGACCCCAAGTGCCACGGTCAGGTGCATTGACGGGGAATGCAGGAACTCCAGGTCTAGCAGCCTGCATATTAGGTTCCCAGGATTCCTGCGGAATGCCTGCAATCAATCATGAAAATGCCGTACTAAATGCAGGTACGTGAGAGTGATGTCTATCTGACATCGGCTCACTTGGCGGCTTCAAGACACTGTCCGGCCAAGCGAAATCCTCAAGTTCGTGACAAGTGGCGGCGGCTAACATCGTCAGTCTGCTTGTGTGAAAGGCTGCCACACATGTGTCATGGTATCGGTAACGGAACCACCTGGCGCCTGCCCGCTTTACTTGCTTTCACATCGAATGCCACAGGCAAGCTTCCCATTGCGACGGGTGTTCACCTTGCTCTGGCGATCCCCGTGAAATAACGTCATTCTGCAAGGCTTCCTCAGCAGGTGTCAATCCTTTACCCATCTGTGCGCGGAAAAGTCATTGTGCAGTACAGGTGCCGCTTCTGGCAAAGGGTGCCTCACTGCCCCACGTGCTTCAAACCTGAAGGGAGCCATGAGGCACTCCAGACTCCAGACTCCATGCAATACATTCTCCTGGCACAAATGAAGACCTGAGCCAGCAATCGTGCCAGCAAGCTGCGTGACCCAGCCAGCTCGACTGGGGCGGTCAGCCAGTGAGGGTGGCACCTGACTTGAAGGCATGTCTTGGCAGTGACTTGGCAGTCTGGTGCGTTTGCTTGTTGCCTCTCTGATATTCTTCCGACTGTACTTGCTGGTCGTCCCCAGGCAGGCCTTGTGCCCTGCTAGTGTGGAACTGCTCGACGTAGGACGTCGCGTGCCAATGGCTTCACTAAGCGGTTCCTCGAACACTTGTCCTCAGGCCAGTGGAGCTGACCGGCCGCTCGCAGTCCGCTCTCCGAATTCTGCATAATTGCCGGCCGAGCTGCGAAGGAGCTCTGTGCTTTGCTGCATCGTATCGACACTCCGAGCGTGTTCTATGCTTTCTCCTGCGGCAACAAAGCGAAAGAGAAAGAACTCTTTAGCAACAAATACTTTACTCTCATTCCGGCGACCTGCACCCATGGAGTGACCTCATTACAAATTAACTTCGACGATGGCGATGATGATGATAATGTTCACCATCTCCATCACCAATGATTTACCGTCATTCCTGACACTCACTGCCCGGACCCTCAACACACAAGATTTGAACACACCGCCCTTCAAGGGGAGGGTTGTTAGTCTTAGGAAGCAAGACTCTCTGGCTGTCGCATCCAAAAGGCCTCAGGTGACCGGGGCCACTTCTATCGATGACATCGCCCTGTTAATTCGGCAGGTAAGATCAGCGAAGCGTTTGAAAGGCCACGGTCCTGCTGCAGAGAATATGGACGGCTCGAAGCAGTACTGCGCTCGTCGGCCTTGTTCCAGAGATGTGGCGCGAGCCTTGACGGGCTGAAGCCGAGCTTGGCTGGTCCTGGACAAGCACTCCTTTGCGTCTTCTCGTCTCTCAAAGGCGGCTCTGCAACATAGATCCAGATACAGTGGTAGGATAAATCTTGCGATCGCCACTCATGCAGAACTGACAAAGACAAGTGTAGGCAAGAGCCTACTTTTGTCGTATGGCAGAAAGCACAACGTCTGCAAAGTCTTGCTGCACAAGTATCGGCCCATAGAGAAACGACAAGCCATGGGAAGCCTGACACGACACTAGGGGATCAGCTCCCTCCGTGGACATTGGAGGTTTCAAGCTGAATCCGTGTCTGGATGCCCACAAAACCCTCCTGCACCGTGAACACACAGGCACTGCTCGACGTGTTTGAGCAATAATCCCACCTGGCAAGGACTGGAAGTTGCCCACTCGGCAGGAGACAGGACGGCGGGAGGCATTCTCGGAAGATCATCGGGCTCAGCTGGGGCCGTGTCCTGAGCTCAAGTCAAACAAAATTCGCCTCATCCGCTCCCCTCTGCCCCTCTCCCCTTCTCTGCCCGGCCCCCCCATAATATATATATATATATCTCTCTCTATATATATATATAGTATATATAGTATATACAGTATATGTATATATGGTGTATATATATATATATATATATACACACATACACACGTTATATACCCCTTCCCTTTTGCTCTCGATCGGCCTGGCTCTGGCTCTGGAGCAGCTGCGCGACGGAGAAGAACTTCGGGCCGGGAGGCAGCCCGGCGGAGGGCCCTGGCCCTGCCTGCGCATGGCCGCCCAGGGCCCAGGGGGGCCACACATCTTCAGGGTTTTGGGGGTTTACGCTCTCACAGCTCGGATGATGCCAGGCGAGGTTCTTGGGCACACAGTCGGCGTGATACAGTATCAAGAGAGATTTCTCACTTGTGCCAGGGTTTAGGGTTTCAGCACTCACACTCGGACGAACCACAGCGAGGATCCCAGTCCTAGGGTTTAGGGGTTTAGGGTTTAGGAGGTACTTCTAGGTTGTCACAACATAAGCGCCCAGCTCCAGTCTGTTCTGTAGCTTTTGGCGAGAGCTCTCGCATGCATCATAAGGTGAAGTTTCTTGAAGGCTGGGAGCCTCAAGGCACAAACCAAGAGAGGTTTCTTTCAAACTTCCGTCTTGTTGTTGCTTAATGAATTACCCTTCCCTGTCGAACTGGCCATTCTCGCCCTGTGAAGTGCCTAGAAACCCAGGAGAAAGCCACCCGCAACCAAGAGTCAAGCAAGCAGCATTCTGCCAGAGTCCGCCACTCTATTCTTGGTTAACCCAGCAATGAAACGCCGACCTCCACAGATCCATGTGGATGTGGAAGACCCGGCCGCTCCTACCGCAAGAATCACGTGCGAGCACCGGTCTTGCAAGAAACCCCGGGATGTGGTTCCTGGAGGAAAACGGAGGCTTCGCTTCATAGAAGGCTTGTCCCTACATCGATTCAGCCCTGCGCAACCCTGGGCTCCTTGGCAACAGAAGCCATGTGCCAGTGCTCTTTGGCCTTTTCCCCGGCTTGCATGTCATTGGCACACCGCAAGTCATCTACGAGCGCATAGACCACCTCCAAGTCACCTCGGGGCTATGCTCGGCAGGCTGGGGCCACCAACATGACACAAACTTATAGGCATGCCCCTCAATTCTATAACACTTGTGTTGCCAAGCGGCGCCAAGCGTGTTGCTCAGCCTTCTGGGAGAGAAGCTGCAGACATGTGCTGCAACCTGAGAGCTGCAAGACACCAAATCGATTCAAACCCATGCAAGGCAAAATCTAAAGCACCGGACGTGGGAGTCCCAGAAAGATGCAGCAGTCAGAAGACACTCTACGAGCGCACTGGATGCAAGTTGAAGGCGTTGCGAAAAAGGCCACCCCTGCAGGTCGACCCGAATCCTACTCGAGCTCTTCAAAATCTCCAAACCTCAATGTAGAGCACATCGAATGCTGCACCAGCAGCTAGTTTTCCGCATTCGTTCTTCTGACGTCAGATCCTGGAAGAGAGCACAGGCACTTTGCATGGAGCGGCTATTCGGACGGCTCGCATGTCACACTGACAGTGTCAAGTACCACGTGGAGACCAAGCAGATTGCACAGCCGAGGAGCCGATAGCTCCGCTTGCAAGCGATCGAGGCCCTGCTGCCGGAAGCCGGGTTTGCAGGCCTCTGGAGCCAAGAGGCTGTGAAGGCGGTCTTCCCAAACATCGCACTCTGCCTGAGCCGAAGGCATGGAGTAACACAAGCAGACTTCAGGTAGACCGCAGAAGTTCGAGCTTGAAAGTATTGACAGGATGTAGATCTGATGAGGCTGCGGGCGAGAAATGTCTGCTACCCGTGCGTCCCTGCCTCGACAATCATGAGAGCGCTGTGTGCAGGCTTGTCGTGTCGCAACATTCGCAACCACTCGTAGCACATCTGTTCCTGGAGAAACGATGGCGGGCAAACAGCAGACTGCCGCGACATGCAGAGTCCTGCAAAGGAAGCCCTCCAGCGACGGCATCAAGCACAGCTGCTAGTGGCTGGTTGGACTTGCCCTGGCCAAAATTCACAGAGAGTACGCATCAGCCCGGCTGAAGGCTTCAGCTTGCAGGCTGCCTCCGGCCGCCTGAGCCCAGTTCGCTCCAAGGCCTGACACTTCGATCCTCCACTTACTTCACTGCACACAGCGAAAACCACAACCTGCCCAAGGATATCGGTCGGAAGGCAAAGACAAAAGCTACGATACAGTACGGGATAGCACCCAGCTTTGACTGACGTTTGCGTTTCACTTTCAGCCACTCCAGCCTGACGGAGGCTTTCCACCTCTTCGACTGCCTCCCGCTCGCGCCGCTCAGCTTCTTCAGCGTGGGCCGCCAGCGCTCTCAGCTCTGGCCTTGGTTCTGGGCAACGGCGTACGGGCCGAGGGTTGTGGGCACAGGCGCGCCGCATTGGCGGAGGAGAGGGATTTTTCTGTGCCTCTGTTCGGCTTGGCCACTCCTCGAAGGCATCGAAGTCCGCTTCCTTCTCCGCATCAACACATCCGTCCCTCGGGTGCAAGGCAACGTCCACGAAAGAGCACCACCTTCGAAAGCTGTGCCAAGTCAGGGCCAAGCTTCTGGTCTCGCAGGTCTCGGTCCCCGGAGGCCAAGCTCGGCCCGATGAGACCTCTGAAAACACCAGCTTTCGCTGACATCACTACTTTGAACAGTAAGTCTTTGGCCCTCCGCAGCGCATCCAAGGAGAAGTGCGGGCATTGCCACAAATTGGGGTCGTTCGGAGTTCGGAATCCCCTCATGCACTTTTCACCACATGTCCTTCCGAAATGTGCAGCACGTTGCTGAGCTCAGTTTACGGATTGGCATGGGGGGCCGGGGGCCGGGGTTGCCGAGGCTCTGACCATCCGTTTCTTGCGCCAGCCGCAAGATACTGAAAGATCTGTCCTTCAGCCAGCAATCAAGCGAGAAGCAACTCTGAAGCTTTGCAATAGTCACGTACACTTTCTGCCTGTCTGGTTCCCTGCAGCAGTGATTTGTGCCTTAGCCCTGTGAACAAACGGCCGGCATCACGGTCAAAGCCGGTATTGAAGCGGGTCGGTGTTCGACACGACAACTCTTTGCACCGACGTGAGCTGTGGGGCGATGTGGGGCTTGCCAGACTAACTGAAGTAACTGAAGGCTGCTAGATGGGAGTGATCAATCAAGCAGGACTGCATTGTGTTCGTGCTGCCATGTCCCGGCTTTGACTTGGCAAGGTGAGCACAAAACTCACAATTTGTTCAGGCTTTTGTGTGGAGCATCTCGTCTGAGCATTACTGCCATCCCCCGACTCCGACGCACATGACGCACTCACCCTTCAACTTAGGCTGCTGGTCACTAGTGTTCGATCTCCACAAACTATGCTGACGTTCACAAAATGGCCTCCCCATCCACGCTCATGATAGGTCGACAGTCTCATCTCACTCTCCATTGACCACTGATCATAATTACCGCTGATCAGCTTCCGTGTGAGGCTTCATGTCTCTACTTTCAAGCATCGGACCGGTCATGAAGCTGTCCTGAGCGCTCGCCTTTGCGTCCTCAACTTTGGCTCGCGCTCGGAACAGCTGCCGGCGGATATGCTGAGCCTGCTCCAAAAGCCTGCATCGTCGAGGTGTGTGGGGGCTATGCGGGAGGCGTGCTGGCAAGCCTCCGGTTCAATGACATTGATTACATGCTGTCAGCATGCAGCCGGGAAATGTCAGCGTGCGATTTTGGATAACAAGCGGCCATGCATCAAGGGACAGCAAGTTGCTGAGGAAAAACCACTGTGGTTGCAGGGTCTGCTAGAACCGCTCCACGTGGTACATGCAAGTGTTGGCACCTTCGGTGTCGTTAGAATAATTATTTGTATCGCCATATCTGGACTGCAGGTCCGTGTTCAATCGGTGCACGATTTGGTGACACTGCTTCTGCAAGTGCAAGGCTTCCAGCTCTCTTTCCCGGAAGCTCGTGCACAAAGCTTGGGCTCTTTCCAAATCCAGGCCAGGAGCGGAAGGAACGGAAGCACCGGAACTCGGAGTCTCCTCAGGTACGATGTCATCGAGCGCACTAGCAGCTATTGCTTCCGCTCTGGACAAGAGCACCTGCAACTTTGAGTCCCTCATCGTCAAGGAGGACAGTCTCGCGGATTCCGACGGCTCCTGTGCCATTTTGGGCACCGGTGGTCGGCTCCACGATGCGCTGACGCTTTGGCTGATGTGCTTCAAGCCCAGGCTGCTGTGCAGGTGGTCAAGTCCTTGAGCTGTGCCGCTAGTAGCATCCCCGGGCAAAAGCTTTTGTAGCATTGCTGTGTGTTCCTGCAAGACCATCAAGACCTCCTCCTGTAGTATCTTGCGGACTTCCATGACGGAGAACTTTATCAGAGACTGCATTATCACCGGATCCCGCTTGAAGAAGCTGCTAATGCTCTGGCAGAAGTCTAAGTACGAGACTTCTTGCGTCGCATTGTCGGCCATAACATTGAACACCGTCTCCATATCTTCCCTCTTCATGTCCATGACTTGCATCAACTTTGCAAACTCGTCGACATCGTCATAACCTTCCTGCATCTCTACCAAGGAGATCAGCCCGTTGTTGTTGACATCCATCGTTGCGCAAAGCCTTGCTAGGTCTTCCATGCTTCTAGCTCTCTGGTTCTCCTTCTGCTTAATCTTTTCCTCATGATCGTTCTCGCGGGCTTCTGCGGCTCGTTCAACGATTACCTGATGATGGCGCTTCTTTGTGAGCATGGTCCATGGTTGCAACATGGTGAAATGAAGCTAAGCAGCTAGGCCTACTACACAGCCAACCCTCCCGGGCTGAATGCTATTGTTGGGATCTGGGGATCTAGGGGATCTAATATTCGGCCGGAAATTTGGAAACAAATGTACCTTTGCAGGCCCAGGCACTGCCAAAATTAGGTTCAAGAGCCCCAAGGTGATTGTCATCATCATCCCGAAAAGAATGACCATGGTCCATGGAGCCTCTTCCACCAGTCGCAGGTTAATTGTTCCCCAAGAGTCGCCAGCTACCAGCTGTTGGAACAAAGTCAGCCCGGCTTGAAACACAGTGCTGAATCCACGTGGGCATCTCTCACAATGTAAGTAGTATCTTTCCAGGGTGGATGTGATGGGATGAAGGAGCTGCACAGCAACTACGGCCCAAACGACAATCATCGCGACTAGCAGCAGTGCGCCGAATAGGATGGCCTTGATGGAAGAGTAAAGGCCGTTGATCAGCAAGTAAAACTCAGGGATGGAAATAAGTAGGCGAACTGCCCTCGAGACGCGAATCAACCTGGACATTCTCAGCAAGTTGACGCTGACTACATCTGCAAAAATGAAGTCAAACCATCCAGAAAGTACGATGACGAAATCTGTCAGATTCCATCTGTTCCACCAGAAGAGACATTGCTCTGCATATAAGCGAACCAAGCACTCTAGCGAGTAGAGCAAGAGTATGGCTAGATTGAGGGCAGGAATCCACCCCACAGTGTCACTGCGTGTAGGGCAGCTGGTGAAATCCGATGCATACTCGGGAAAGCACGTTGCGTCGACATCCGTTTCGTACCAGATAAGTATCAAATTTCCGAGAATTAGTGCCCCCATCGCCATCTCAAATGCCTGCGAGAACACCAGCTTAGCGAGTTGGATTCTAATCCAAGGCCAGATGACATTACCTTGGGCATCCTCCCAAGGTTTGGCCGAGTACCCGTGATATCGGAGACTCCTTAATTGCGTAATTGCGTCGTCCAGGTGGTGCTGATTCTTGATTTCCATGGAGCCTTTTCGGAAACCCGCCGACTTGGACGAGGCCCGTGGGGACATGGCAGCCATGGTTCCTAGGCTAATCCTTTAAAAAAGAGACCAGCTTCTCAACAGGTAGGCACTCCGAGGCCTTCAGTGAGCCATGTGCAGCACAGCAGGGCCATCAGGTGCTTGACATCAAATCTAGAGTCTCGGCAAGCAACTAATGTCTCGCCCTTGTGCCTCCCTGCATCCTCTCGAAGGAAGCTCGAGGACACCTCCCAGGAGCTCAGTCTGCAAAGATCCCAAGCAAGCCACGATGGAGCCAGGGATTGGTGCAAAGCCTGACTCGCGGCTGCAGACTGTCCTGGGCAGCCTGAGCCACGGCCCCGACCAAGGCACCCGCATACAATTCACTAGTCACTAGTCATTGGACCGTCAGTATACATCATATATGCCATGATCTGTGGCCCACACTTTGCCCAGGGAGCATCGGCATCCCACTGGCCGTGCTACTAGCGTCATGTTACATTGCTTCTTTCGGAAACCTCGACCTCTCAATACTTCTGTACTCTGCGATAGACATATCGACTTCCTGAGTGTCCTTCCATAATGGAGTCAGATTCAGATTCAAGTCTGTGGCTGTGGCTACACCTGTTCCAAAGCGCTCAGCTCGCTACGATTCGTGTGTTCCTGTTGCAGCCTAAGCAAACCTGTTTGTGCCTGCAATGCTGCAAACAACAAAAGGTGCTTGTTCATGCAGGCCCGGAAGGACGTCATTGGCAGTTCGCGAGAAGCTGAACATGCATCTACGACGTCTGCAGCATGACGACGCGCAGCTTCCGAATGCTTGTGAAGAACAAGCCGCGCCTCCTGTAACCCACGCAAACCTTGGCTCTTGGGTGATTGCTGCAGCTCAGTCTACAAGTGGCAACATCCAAAAGGGTGGCTCAACATGGCGGCTCAAAAAACATTTGCCCAGCGGCGTGATGATCCAAGATGATGGAGCGTCGCTGCCTTACAGAGCTGACTGACAGAAAGCCATGAACTCAACAGTGCGGAAGCACTTGTCCGAAAACCACTTCCACCAGTTCCGGCCTCCAAGTCGGAGAAGGGTCGGATGTGTGAGGGACCTCCATGCACTGTGGCACTTTCCACTAAATCCAAACACAGCACCTCTGGGTCGTTATGTCATCGCTTGGCAGACTCTGCCCCGACTCTGTCGCAGAGACGCCTGCATCGTCCATGAGGTCAGTTGTGTTTGTTGGCACCTAGGCCAGTCCATGGTCGGCCCCTCGTGGAGCTGTGCAACAGATGCCATCAGAGAATGCTACGTCCATCCATTGAAGGATAATGATCCGGCTCGCGGCTTGAGGCTCAGACGCTGAAGAACAAACGCGGCTGACGCTTCCTCGCACAAGACAATATCGGCCCTGGAAAACATCTCTGAACACTTCACAGCACATGATGCCACCAAGGCCTCGTTCTTGCGCGATGGCGCTGCGTAGGACCGGAGTCCTTCGGCAGCAAGGTGCGCCAAATCTAGACTCCCTTTGCTTCCTTCCAATGCTTTCTGCAGTGGTAGCCAGGCTATACAAACAAATGCGATGACATGTGATTACACAATATTACACAGAAAGGTCACCAGGATGTAGCTTGGACGATGAAGCACGCACAGTGCTGGCAGTCCGGGGCAAGTTCAGCTGCCAGTCCGGAGCCAACGTCTGAAATTGCCTGCGTGTGTCTGCATGCTACAAATCTAGGCCTGCCTGTCTCTTTCTTTGCTAGGGGCATACATCGGCCGAGGCCAGTCTCCCGACTCGTGCATTTGCAAAACCGCATCCTTCAGATTGAGGGACGAGCTCTGCTGTGCAGAACTGTTGCCCCTCCTTTCTTTCTTTCACCGGGCCTAGGGGCGAGCCTCATTTTTGACCCCTTCCTGGGGATGCGCTCATAGGCCCCCCATGTGTTATGGGGTCTCTCTTCTTCCCCGGGGCATGAGGGGGTTGCGAGACCCCTCGGCCCTAAGGGCCCCCCCGATGTTCGTGGCGCTTTGGAAGGGCGTGAAGATGGGGTCTCTCTCTCTCTCTCTCTCCCTCTCTCTCCTTCTGCAGGTCTGGAGAAGAGTCAGCCCATCCCATTTGGAGTGGAAAGAATGGTAACAGAGAGCCTGGGCAACCCTGGCGACAAGGAGAAGAAAATCATATCGACACAACATCGAGTAAGCTCATGCTAAGAGAGGCCCCCAGTATACACTCCTCCTTCTCTGTGTCGTTGGCCTGTGCTTGCTTGCCCGCTCGTCTCGGATTCACTTTGTCACCTACAAAATATCGTGACCAAACAGATGACCATCGCATAACAGTGACTGCACGAACAAGCTGAGGGGGCTCTCGTGGGGCTCACAATTCCTAACAGAGCTTGGGAATCTTCGCTTGAGCAAGGTTGCATAATCAGCCAACATCAGCATGAAGGCTTTGATTCCCTAGTTGTTTTGCCCCTCGTGCTACTCCAAGGCCGGCCTGAGCTACGCGTCGGGGCCTCAGAAACCCGTGAGGAACAACACCAGATGAGGAAATAATAGAGTACATAGTCTATGCCTCTCTCTTCTTCAGGTCATGAGCGACTGCTTAGGTCCTGCAGGCTCGTGTTTTTCTCTCTGTCTCTTGCTCCACGGCTTCTTTGGGCACCACCCTCTGGCAAGTCAAACGTGGAGGGCTCGATGCTCCCCTCTAAGGGGGAGGCCAGGCGGGTCGTGGAGGGTGCGCGCCTTCGCTGAGTCGCCACAGCTCCACGGCTCACTTGGTTTACGGCGGCCTTTGCCGTCCAAAACTTCGAAACTCTCTGGTACATACAAGTACTAAATTGAATGGGACTCCGTAGGGAGCTCCTCTTGTGTGCCCGGAGATGTGTCTGACCACCACCAGTGCTCGGGTGGCTCTGGCTTGGCTGATCTGATCACTCTGTGAGCAGAGAACCAGAAGGGACGATCTTTAACATATCAGAACTGTACAGGGTGGTCCATGCGGTTATGTTCAAGCCAGGAGGACTGCCATCATGGACCCCAGGCTCATCGCACCCATGAGAGATCCGACGGCATGCGACGAGTGGAGCTCTTCCATCTCTGTCATGCGGTAGCGGCAGCTACCGGTGGTCGCATGATGGCAGCAGCACTTGCACCAGCAGGCTGTTCCATCATCTGGTCCGCAACCTGTGCCGTCGGAGGCCACAAAGCCGCAGTAGCACTGGGAGACGAAGGACGGTAGCCCGAATCCCTGCAAAGGGCAGCTGTCAGCCCCAGAGTTGTCACTGTCAGCTCCAGGCACAACGCTTCCAGACTCTGTGGGGCTGTCCGTCGCTGTGGTCGGAGTCGGAGTCGCTGCTGCGCCGCTCGAGGTGCTAATCGCCGCTACCCCCAAGCCGAGGCAACCCGGCGTGTTCGCGTCGCAGGAACTGTAGGTCGCTATAGCAGGGCCCACGAGGTACTGCTCTTCCGGGCCCTGACCGTTGTATACCTTGCGGTAGCCATCAGCACCCTGTGGCAGGTGCTCGATACCCGAGATCGGTGTCACTGGCGAGGGCAGCACAGGCTGAGCACTGCTGGCGATCTTGATGTCCGCACACTGCACATAGAATTCGATGTTGACCACCTGGGAGTTTCCGAAAATAGGGGTACCTTACTTGGGGGTCCTTATAATGGGGATCCTACTATTTACTGTAATATACTATATTAGGGTCCCCTGTTTTCGGAAACTCCCACCTGCTGATGTCCCGTCCATTCCCAACGAAGCACGCAGTGCTCACAGGCCGGCAACTCTTCCGGAAGGAGAACTGAAGTGCTGACAGAGGAGGGGATGTTCAGGCCATCCGGTGCGCCACACCCAGGGATTGCGGCAATCTTGAAGAAGTTCACCGCGTTGCTCGGATCTGGGTCGTAACTCACATAGAAGTAGCAGTCGCCGGGGTGTCCGGCTTCCATGGTCCAGGTCACATCAAAGGAGGACCCGGCTTGCAAAGTGGTCTTCGCTCCGTCTGAATCTGGGTTGAAATCGTGGCATCGCATGCTTGTGGGAGAGTAGCCTCCCCGATTGCCATCCAACGTGTAGACAGGGGCCCTTTGTTCATGGCTTTCCCGGCGGCCCACTGAGTCTACTCGAACCAAAGGCATCGTCAGCTGGCCATGCCCCGCTGCAAGGGCCACTGCCGCCAGATTCACCAACGCACGGAAGGAACACATCAGTCCAACAGCGTGCACGGTCTACACTTTCGGTAGGGATGGTTGAACCACAACGGCTAGGCACTTCAGTCTTCCGACTTTCGGAGCTTGTCCGCTACATCCCGCACTTCGACGTACCGTCTGCTGTTGAAGCTGCTCAAGCGGCGGGCTAGGACGGTCCAGCAACATTGACGGTGCATCTGCCCTGCATGCTTCAGTTGCCGCGAATCATACACATACACTTAATAATAGGTACATAAAGGCTCATGTAGGTAAAGGCCTGTCTATGCATATGCACATGCAGATTTTTATGTGTATGCATATGATAGTATATATATATATAGATATGCATATTCATATGTAAAAGTGCGCGTGTGTGTCGGTAGGTAAGTCAGTATGTACAGAATAGAGCTATTTGTACTACCCTTCCTGTAAAAAGACGTGCTAGTTTCTCATTGCGAGCATGATGTTAACTATGATTATGATTACATGCTGATTGTTATGGTCAGTATATGATACACGTGTGTACACGAACACACGCAACTATACATCTATGTGTTGTTCTTGTACACCTTGTTACTCGTTATGTAGTTTTCCAGACTTGACAGCTACCCAATCAAGTGGCCTGGCCAACACGTGAGACCGGCTTGACGAAGCTGCCGGCCATTCCGATTCCCACCTCGCCGAATCCCCTTTTGAAATCTTTTGAAGGAGTGTGACCGCATGTGGTGACGCTTGCTGGGCAGCACACGCCCATGAGAAATCCACTCAAGCCACTGCTGCGAGCCTCAGCCACACGCAGGACCTTTAAAGTGCCGGTTGATCAACGCGGCAACATGTGCCCATTTCAAAAATTACCGGCTGTTCCGATGCTTGGTCTCCAGCACCTTGGACAGGTTTCTTCACCTCGCTATGTGAACGCTGAAGCTGCGGCACGGTATTGAAACACGAGTCCAGGTCCCCAGCAACATCCATAACCCCCTCCACCTCAGAGCTGCAAAGTGCAGGCGAGAGCCGAGAGCTGGCTGAGCTTGCGGGCAAAGAACTCCTTGTGCAATGGACTTGCTCGCTTCCACCACGCCATCCCCCAGCCTGCATTTCTGTGCGCTGGCCGCTGGCCGCTGGCTCTCCCACTCAGACTCCGCTCTGCGCAGGTCCATGCTAAGTAGTTAACGGTTAACCCACACAGCACTTCGCAAAGTTCTGCGAACATGTATCGAGAGCTCGGATTGTCAGCCGCGGCATGCTCAGCACCTGGCCCGCGAATTCGTTTCGTGCCTTGCTGCTCCCGCTGTTTCGCAACAAAGTCCTGCGAATCTACTCGAGGCTCCGCAAGTGCCGGGCACGGAAGGAAGGTCCTCGTCGAAGGTGAGTTTGTTCAGCAGTGCTGCAGCTTCTCCCGCGGCCAGACCTCACGCGGCAAACAAGAAGATGAAGCTCAGCCTGTAACTCGAGAAGAGACGAAAGTTAGGCAGAAGCAGGCAGTACAATTTCGCGGCGCTGTTCGATGTTGACTCGCAGTTTCGTTCTGTTCGGTTGGCTAGAATCTTGTGGCAAGTAGCGAGGGATGGTCAGCAAAGGCTGGTTTTGTCGCTGAGCTGAAAAGCTTCTTCCAGAACCAGCTTCGCATGTCAGAGATACTACTAATGCCGAGCAGGACTCTTGTGCAGCTTGCACGGAACACACATGGGAGATCTGACTCCGCTGCTAGACGCATTTGAACTGAGAGCAATGAGATAATGGCAACCGTGCACAGCCAACACAAGGCAGATCTGAAAAACAAGATGAACTGGAGCTCCGTCGGGCTGCATGAAGTTGAGCATGTCGCTGGCAGGCTTGCAAAGCAGCTTCGAGTGCTGAGGTGCCTGCCAATGCTGTCTGTGACCTGCAGGTACGAGCGATCACAAGTTACGTAGCTGCAAGTCTCTCGTTCTGTCAAGTTGCATAAGACACAGCAGTACCACCAAGCTTCAGGGGAACTCGTGGCCTGCTGACAATCACCGGTCTGTCCTCCCTCTGTCAATGCACCCTGCTTGCAATGGACCGGGGCCGTGGCAGCTTCAACACGGAGCTTCTTCCAAGAACTGCACCCACATTATGCAAGAAGTTCACCTTGCTGAGCGCTGGCCGCTGAACATCAGACTCACACAGACTTCTGCTGTGCGAGATTCCAGGAGCCTGGCCGTGTACTCGGCAGTGAGGCAGCCCAGGAAATCGTTCACGGAGCCACGGTACGGCGGCCTGAGAAAGTCCATTTCTACAGCCAGGAAATGACAAGCTGCGCAACCATGGTGCAGCAGATCAGGTCTTTGCAGCCGCCGTCTTGGCAAAGAGACTGAAGCACCATCCTTACACAAGATTCCGAAAAGTCTCTGTCGAGCTCTGAAATCTTCGTGGACATGTAAGACTGGAGCAAGGTGGAAACGCGCACTGAGACTCAGCAAACGAATAGCTGAACGAACCTTGGCAACATCAGGCAGCATTCAGAGCTTGTCTGCATGCTTCCAGCTCCTGTACAACGAGCTTTGTAAGGCTTCGGCATAACCAGGCAGAAAACGTACCTAGGGGGTGGTGCTTGTTGTCCCAGATGCTGCCTTCATATTCGATTTTTTCTGGTCATCAGCAATACTGAGAGCGTAGCACTGTCCAGTCGTATCGAACACCAAACCTTCGACAAGCTGGCATGCCACTGCTGTGCAACATGCCTCAAAGGAGCTTAGGCTTAGAAGCTTGAGAACCTCGCTGACACTGCAAGCAAATGAGCAATTTGACATTGGGGCACCAGGCTCTGACTGCGATGCTTGAAATGTGAAGAGCGTCGATCTGGACCTCCCAAGCTCAACACTTCTTTCGCTGCGGCTCCGGAACGTGATCTGTGGTGGGGATGATGGCATGTCTTCATGACCTTTCGCGACAGTACAAAGCTGCTCTGCGGTCCCCACGATCCGCGGGCAGCTTGGCACCTTGGCATGGGCCGTGCGCAGTGATGGTGGCCCTGTGTGCTCGAAGGCGGGACGCCGTGAAAACCCACCAGGCGGTCACGGGAAATGCAGAGATAACTAGGCGTCTCAACCACATCCGAGTGCATCACAACGTACTCTTCCACTATCGGCTTCCCAGCCAATCCTTGTTTGTGTCAAGCCCAGGCTGTTGGTGGTGTCTTCAGTGACAAGGCCCGGACTCAGCATATCCGGGAGAGCGGATTTGCTGCTCTGGCTTGCGCTACCTTCTTTCCAGTCACGAACTCCACTAGAAGGCGGAATCGGCATGCTGAGAACGATTGGTCAGTTTGACAGCCTCGTGGTGCACTGACGAGCCCGGTTATAGAGGGTGCATGTTGGCTTCTTGTTTACCTCGTGTTCCTCAGGCTAAGACGAGCTTGTGATGCCAGGCGGGCCTCAGAGCAGACTTCCATAGATTCGCAATCGCGGGTTTTTTGTTGTAGGCAACCCGCCAGACGGTCCAGCCAGTGATCATCAACCTGGACTCGTGTCAAGCGTCTAGACGTTGTTTAGAGGGTCGTGGGCAGGTGTGGGGCAATGCTGTCGTCTCCAGTCGAACTCAGGCATAGACTGTCAGATCTGTCGAGTCGAGGGATATCTCGGCATACGGTATCACCTGCGTTGCGAATGAGGTCTGGGCGGCTCAAAGGCAAGGCGCTCGAACACGTCGAAGGCTTTCAGATACAGCGGGCTGGCACTTAGCTGCTCGTCTGTGCCGCATTTTACGTCCGCTTCCTTCAGTCCACTTCCGTTTGCGAGGGAAGTGGCGAAGTTGGCCAGACGCAGCGTCGTTCACAGCGTGCCTGGTCGGCTTACCAAGAACCCTTCACGACTGCGTTTGTTTGTGATGGTTTTGGCTACGAATACAACATGTTCACGTTCCATGTCGAAGCACTCGTCGAAGGCACCAGCGCACTAGTCACAGCGAAATGCCTATTGACTATTGCACCTGATCGTGTTTATTTAGCAGTCAGATGTCCGGTTTGATCCTGGCAATCCACAGCGACTGGCCGCCAAGTTAGGCGCCTGCACGGACTTTGCGCCCCTGGATAGCACCGCTCGAGCCTGCAACGCGCAACACAAGGCATGCAAATTCGTAGCAGCCACGACGAAAAAGGGAGCTGCCGTCGCCTTTGCGAAGGGCTTTGCTTTGAGAGCCTCTTTCTGCCGTGCAGCTGCAACCTTTGCAAAGGGCCACAACTTTGTCAAGGCTTGCTACAGTAAATATCTTCTTGCCGAAGTTGGCAGGTCTCAACCGGGACACTTGATCCACTGGCTCATGACCGCGAGGTGCCCCCAACCAATTTCTTAGCCACGAGTATGTTCATCGAGGGAGGACATGATATGAAATCTGGTACACAAGCGAGAACTAGATGCAGTCTGAAACTCTCAGGGTCACCGAACCATTGCCAACCTCCAGAGTCCACCAATGGGCATAGGCTCCCGGCTGAATCAACGTGCCTGCACAGGACTCCCACAGTTGCTGGCACAAGTGAAGAAGTGGGGAGCTCGTAGCGCGATGCTCAGGCCACGGCATCGTCGCAGTCTGCTTCTTGCACGAAGAGGCTCTTGGGTCTTTGTCGTGGGCTTCTTTGCAGCGGAACCTTCCAGACGAGTAAAGAATTCCAAAGACGTCGAGATGTATTCAGCAGCGTGAATTGAAGGATCCTGTTGCTGCCTAGTAGCCCAGACAATGCCATAACCGGTGTTGTTGCGAAACCTTGGCAAACCATCCTATCGCGTGGAGCAAAGCCGCTTTAAGCCAGCAAGTATGCACAAACACAATTGGGCAAATTGTGGAATCACGAGCTATACTTTGCGCGGCTCACGAGCCAAACTTCAGCCTGGATTCCGACCAGGACTCCGCCGCGAGGAACGATCAATGCCCGACCTGCCACCCAAAACGGTTGATGCCTCTGCTCACTTCTCAAAAGCCAACACAATCTAGCATTACACAGTAGCCCCGCCACGCCACGGCTCGATTCCCTTTGCCTGCTTCGACTCTTGTAGAAGAGGTCGTGGCTGTGCCCTCGAGCATCCAGAACAGTAGTTGCTCGGCACCTTGCATGCACGTCCCCAGTATGCTTGCGTTCTTGGCCGTGTCACAGTGTGTGCTGGGTCTGCTGTGAGCCATGGGTATGTTGACATTACATGTCGTTACAGTAACTTACTGTTCTATCTATTAACCTACATTAACCTATTGTGTCTAGTATGCTCGCGTGGGCTTCCGAAACAAGACATGGTTAGAGCATTGTTGACCATGCTCGCGCCAGAACCCTGACGAGATGGTGTAATCAACACAACAAGCAGGCCCACACACTCAAAGGCACTATGAGATTGCAGCAAGTTCCTCCGCAAGCAGTGTAACGCAAGTGTCGCCACATCCTCACGCACATGTGCACTTAACACAATCACACGATTATATGGCTATATCACCATTGTCCTTTGCCGGACCACTCTCTGTCTCTTTCACACTGTGATGTTAAGCCTCCGCCGCCTGAAGCCTTGAACCTCACTGTAACAGGGAATGCGGCCACGGATTTCGGTGACCAACGACAATGTTTCTCTATCTCTGCCTACCGGAAACGGCGGCCGGCCCACCAATTCTTAGGGCGGTGCATGCGGAAAGTAGATCGCAGGAATGTTCTATCCGGCAACGACTTCAGCCTGCTCCCTACTTTTGTCCGAACATTGTAGAAACTGCAAACATATACGTGCATGCTTGCACTATCAATGTCAATAGTAGATCTACTAACGTTTCTGAGGCCCCGGCCAGGCGCTTCGAGTTGAATTCTGACACCTGCAGCCAAGCCAAGTCGACAGGACTTCAGGCTCGTCACAGATTCGGTCCCGGAAGCCTGGTGGATACAGGTGTAGCTGCGCCCACGATAGAGACCGTCTCGCCAGGAGCTCGTCAAAGTCGGCGTTAGAGGGTAGGTCCCAACCTGGGCTGGGCGGTCAGACGTTGGCTGCTTCGAGACTGTTTCGCAATGTCGGCATAGTTTTCCAGTTTGGCAAGGAAGCTGCACCACCACAGCTGCGATGGATCAAGCTGCCCCAAGACTGGATGGCAAGGAGGTGGCGTGCCGCGCACGTAGTCACACATCTGCCATAGAGCCACTGGGCGACCTCAGTTGAAGACACGAAGTGCGCGACCTAGTAGAGATGCCGCAATATCTGCAGCCAAGTGACTGAGCCCGATCTTGTGCACGGACTTGGCAGCCACCCTGGCATGAAGTGTGCCAAAAAAGCATGCAGCTCACCAACCTGACAGGACAACACCTTTCAAGATTTTGGTCCGAGGTTCATCTTGTCTCCCCATTCGGCCCGCAGGTGGAAGATCATGAGACCGGGAGGGGGAGGCATTTCCATCATCTCGAGCTTGGACATGCCTCGGACCAGAGTAGAAAAGCCAATTCCGGGCTTTGTTCAACTGTCGAACATCCTGTTGCCAGGATGCAGTTCGGATGCAGGGTTCCGGTGCAAGCCGGCCATCCAAGGGGACAGGCTTCCACAGCTTCAGCCAAGACTTCAAGTGATGCCTGCCACAATGGCCCGGCAAGCTTGTGAGGCTGGCTGCCGAAATCGGCTTGGAAGGAGAAGTTGCGCAAAAAGCCGCTCTGACAAATCTTCCTGCGCGCGGAAACGGTCCGACGTGCTAAGTCTACTTCATGGCGATGCCTGGTGTATCCGAGATGGATTATGCTGCAAGTGGCCATCGGTGTCCTACACAACGCGAGCTTCTCGCTGTAGCCGCAGAGATGCAGAATGAACTGCGCATGCAGGGGATTCGCAAATTGCAGAGAGGCCTCAGCTGATAGCGGGTGGAACACCCATCTCGCAATTGCTTGTGAACCCGTTTTCGGCCAAGCTGCAGCATCCCATATTCCCAGGTGTGAGGTCTCCTTCAAGTGCGGTCCACCCATCCAGCTGAACCATGGGCCCTGTGCGGGGAGCCGTGTTGCCATTGCCCCAAGCACCTAACACAAAGAAGGGGTTATTGACTTGAAAGCAGCTGCTTCGAGCCCAATGTAAGCACCAAACCTGAAAGCGCTTCAACCGTAACAGTCTCGTCTGCCTGAGGTATGAATTCCCTCCGCCGAGCGAGTTCTTGACAAAGTCCACTCTGATCCCAAAAAGGTGCCTTCGTCTCCACTTAGGGAACCAAGCATCTTAATTACAAAGCAGTGCTGCCGCGGTTCTCTATTAGTCACCGTCTATGTGTCGCTGCAGGCCTCATGAAAACGAACATGGGCCCCGTTCCACGCATCGTCCCAGAAGGTTCGAAGCCATTCTGAATCAGTACGCGCGAACAGGACTCCTGCCACCATCGTCTAGTTTGCATCTGCATGCTACACGTGCCTTTCTTGCAGCTTCCTGTGTTCACGTAGTCCGCCCAGGACATGTCTTCTGCGAGGACCAAGTCTTTCCTGCGCAAGGCTATCCCCCTCTCGGGCACACTGGACAAGACATGAGATCTCGATCCTCCGAAATTTGCCGGCAACAAAAGCATCTAGCTGCTGCGAATGGTCTAAGACCATGGCATCGCCATCCATCCACACCTTGCAGTGCATCCGTGCAACCAGGGTTTCGAGACATCCTCTCATATTCCCCCAAAAGCTTTGCACAATCCGGCAGTCAAGAGTCTATGTAATCCACGCCTTTGAACAGAGCGCGGCGTGCCTGCATTGACGGGTGCACATCTCAGCTGTCGAGGGTAATTGTCGCCCTGAGACACTTCGCAACCCACATGGGCAGCACCTCGTCGCCACCTATCCAGCTTCCGAAAATCTGCCGGGTGCCAGTAGTGCAGGAGTGCGGATTGAAGAGATATCTCAACAGCGCCTTTGCCGAGACGAGGCCATATTGAGGTTACAAAGACTCACGGATGCCAAACTTGGATAGTTCTGACCTACAGACATGCTTTGAAAGGCGTCTGCGACCACCGTGTAACCAGAAAGCAGACAGGGGTTTGTGCTTGCCCGAAACCCGAACGGAAATTACTTACCCCCACCGAAAATCCTCCGATGAATGGAGGAGCTTACCTGGGCCGTAGTATGCAGTATACGTTCCAATTGGCTGCAAGTACTTGTCGCTTTTGTCCACATACGGTTCCAGTGCTGCATGGCCGAGGCGCAACTTTCGCCCATGCGAAATGGCGTCCCTCGCAAACCATCTGCATCTCTTCGCGCGACAGGACGCAAGGCAAAAACCTGTGCCGCCATCGTCTGCAGTATTGATCGTTTACGGCGGCCTGAGTTGTTCATGAACACGTTTCTGGCATCTTGTAATCCATGTGACTGTTAGGATATATCCACCTATGTCCACATGGTGCAGCACAAGTGCGCACTGGAAACCGACTTCGTAGTCCGCATCGAAGTTTGTGATGACCGCAAAGCGAGCGCGGTCGTCCGCCATGCGCCATAAACATTGACATTGGGGAAAGCAAATCTAGGCAACAGCGGGCTCTTAGCTTTTTCTGAACAGCATGGACCGTTCAAAGTGAAACCTGCAAAGTCTATCAATGCACCGTCGATCGGCGCAGTCGCATCAAGAAGTCACGTCTAGACACATCTCGCACGAGCCGAAAGATGCCACAGGGACGGACGAAAGAGTCGGAAATCACCGCAATACTTGGGCATGTCAATATGATCTCTCTGCAAAGCTCTCTCGGCGTGCCAAATCCTTGGTCGAAGTTGTGTCCTGGTGAACTTCCAAACCTCAGTCAGCGCTGAGCTTTCTACAATCAGGCAAAAGCAATCTTCAAAGACACGGCCAACGCGGACCTTGCTCAGTGCAACTGACCACAACTGCCCAGCCCAACTTTTGTTGAATTCGACGCATCTCGGAAAGCTCGAGTCACTGTCTCTGAGTGAGGACGTGTCAGTGTGGCTAACATTCTTCTCACAGGTCCGACCAATGCATCCATTCAGGCCGTGCGGAGAACAAGATCATGATGGACTGGCATCGTACTTTTTGGCTGCGGTCTACGAGATTCAAAGTTTTTGCCGCACAGCCTCTGTGCAGTTTCAGTGGCCTCAGTCGGCAGCTACGGTGCCACATAGGGATTGCAGGCATGGTAGCCGGCTCACAAGAGGAACACTCCTGCAACTCAAATCTGCTGAAAGTCCCCTATCTTGCAAGGATCGGCTGGCGTCAAGGAACCAGCACCATAGGAACTTATCCATGCGTTCCTCTATTAATCTTCTAAAGTCTCTCACCGCACTTCTCCGGCGTGCAAAAACACATGTTCATGGAGAAGTTGTCTCTTATCTCCGTCTCCTCGGTTCCACCGCAGTTCAACTCTGGCGCGTCTGGCATCGCGCTGCACTGGATCGCCGCGATTCCAAGTCCTAATCCAGAGGCTCTGCTCGAGAACCGTTCCATCACATCAATTTAACTCCCTTACATGTGCTGGCATGCTAAAGGCTTCTTCTCTGCGGGGGTCTTAGGAGTAGTGTCGATTTTCCACAGGCTCCCAACGCAAGGACACTGCAAATGGATTGTCGTGTTCCGACTTCTATTGAACATATAGTCACATGCCAAATGCCCAGATTTGCGCAGAGCGCGCGTGGCTTCTGACTATATGCCCTGGTGTTGAGACTTGCGAGGCGCTGACATTTAGGTGACTTGACATTGCCGTAGGTTGCACTCAGCTGGTTCCCTAAACGCTACCACACCACTTGAAGCCCGACAACGTACTATGACGGCATCATGCGCTGCTTTGCGGATTTACTTGGGCTTGCGAAGTTGGCCGAGATGTGCCAAAACCAGCAACGCTTGCGGCAAGACAAGGAACGAGAACAAATTCACACGATGAGTCCGAGGAGAAACATGCCGAAAAGAGTACTACAGCAACGGCACTGAGATTCACGATGGTTGGGTTCTTGCTAAGAGTTAGACGGCACGAACATTTACAACAATAGTCCAAGCAGCTTGACCCTGTCAGGTCTTGAGATTCGGGTTGAAAGAGGGAGTGCCCCCCGAACGGTCTGCCGTCCTTCTGCACATCTACGATGTTCTCTGTCAAATAGCCTCAGAACTATTATTAATCTTCCCATCGCATCTGCGAGGCCTGTAAAGTGTCTGAGGCATAAGCCGTGGTTGCGGCAGCAATGATTGTTCCCAGTTCCTCGGTGCTGATGCTTGCTCCGAGATTGCTCACAGAGCTACACATTCTCATGTCCCTTAGGGTCCGGCTTCACTTTCCGCCTTCAGGCAGGTGATGTGCCGACGCGCTTGAGCAGTTGACTATATAGTGACGATAGATTTCACAATCCACCTGCCCACAGTTGACGTCGCTGGGGAAAAGCTGGTTGCCGGCTGCAGGTTGATAGCTGGCGAAGCATGCCGTCAATCCAGCCTGAGTCCAGCTTAGCATTAACCCTTCAACCTTTCCACTGCAGCGGCGTGAGAGTGCGCCCGCATTCAACATGGCATCGAAAAACAGGTGGAGTCGTTTCAATTCCGTACTTGCAGGCTTGTCAGCGTCGAATGTTAAGGTAGATGTTGTCAGAGCGCTAAGCACGTGAGCCCCCTGTGCACGAGTGGCCCAAGACGAGGTCTTATTATCGCAAAAGCTGCCGGTTTCCACATACCCACTGCATAACAAAACCGCTGGCAGCCTCGATGCCCTACGCACCGGCATGTGGGGAAACCGGGGGCAGCAGGAACACGCGAAAAACGCATTCCAGCAAGCAAGCTGCAAGGTCACGAGGCCCGGTGACAGTGCCAGGACGGCGAAGGTTTCCGTTACTACTTGTATGTTTAAAAGTGAAAATAATGAAACGAATCACCAGGGGGTATCAACAAGTCTCTCATTGGTTTCGTCAGAATCGGTGAGCTCAGGCACGCGCCGTGATTTCTTGAGCAACGCAACCTGCCTACCAACACCAGCACAGGTGCACAGCATATTGACCAATCAAGCGGCATTCTGACAAGGCCTTGATGCAAGCGCAGCTGTCGTTTGCCGGCACGTTGGAGCAAACCTTTGACAGCTCCTGCGGCATGCACAATGGGGGATGCGGGCATGCATGTTGACATTATGTTGACTCTTGGCCGTGCCCCATGCGATACAAACGCTCACAGCTCAGTCCACGTGCTGCTGCCACTTCGGACATGATGTCCAGAATTCGCGGTCACCTTCCAGGCACACCTACGGACAGAATCACCTCACCAATTGATTCACCGCTCGGCGCGTTGGCCTTGTGCGGCTTCCAGACAAGTCTCTTGCGAGCAGCAACTGTCTCCAAACCTGGGCTGCGCAAGCTTTCGCAACTGCGTGGCGATGCTGACCCACAAAACCTCAGAAGGTGATGCGACAATCAAGACTGTTTCGCCATCAAGTCATGGCACCAGCCGAAGCACCCGGAAGCAGCCGCGAGGCAAGAATCGCACGTAGTCATTTCACTACACTTGTCCGCTCTCACGGCCCCAGGCAACAACCCATAGCCAGCCAAGAGCAAGGCAAACGAGCACAACATTTCAAGAGCCAAGGCCGGCAACAGCAAACTTCGAGCCCAAGCTTTCAAGCTGCGGCATGCCAGCATGCGGTCAGGTGACAGCCAACACGATGCATTGCAGCGCATGAGCTGAGCTTCAGCCAGAATGCAAGATTTGTTAGCCAACGAAGCTTCCGATCGGTGCTGCTGAGCCGAGAGCCATTTTGGCTTGTTGCATGTCTTGCTACAATATGCTTTGTCGCGGATGATGCACTTGAGACCAACATGACACAGGCCACCTCACCCGTCTTGCTGGAACCCTAGCATGCACTGATCACTTGGTGCCCGGCTCAACAACGCTCGGCCTCAAGGATCGCATTCAACACAAGGCGACGACGAAACTCTGCACCACGATGCCTTCCTCGCCACGAGCGGCAAAAATCACTGCCTCAGTCGACCGACTTGCGGAACAAGTCAGGGGCTTAGGCAACACAGGTATACTCGTGTCAACCTTCTGCTGCCACGGTGCAGGAGGCGAACTTCGCAAGGTGCCAAGGCTACTGTCACGGCCTCATGCCAGCGACCGAGGTCCGTGCTTTGCCGCTCTGGCTACATGTGGCTAGTTGATGCCCTCGAGATCCCTGCATGGCCAAGTTTTCGGAGGGGCTGAACAGGTGCTTCTGCAAATTTACTCGGTGCATTTCATCGGCACGAAATACCCACGGGCATTTTGCAAGCATGTATGTCAAAAACCAACTCTTCGGAATGTGCTGTGGGACGCTACGTCGGATCCACTTGCGAATTGCTCAGCTTGATGGGCCCGAGTCGATTCGGATTCGCCGGGTGTGGTGATCTTGGCATTGCGGACGTGCTTCACTGACACGGTCTAGAGTCTAGAGTCTATATAGAGTCTAGAGTCGAGACTGCTAGCGTGAAAGGTCGAACATCTACCCCTGAAAGCGACAGGTGCGCAGGATTTCTTTTCCCTCCTACCTAGCAAATCTAGCAAGGACGAAGCCCGCATTGCAGGGTAATTCCCTTGACACTTTCGAATACTAGGCTTTGCGGCTCCACTGCGGTGCCACATTGTCGTAAGGACGACGGGTGTTTTTGTGTCCTGAGACACCTGTGTCCACTTGAACGACGTGCGGTGACATGCATGCTCAATGAGGTTCTGGACTTCACTCAGATTTGATACCTGTCAGCTGCTCGCAGCGGGGCAATCTAGGTACGTGTGTACGTGCCCTTTCCCGTAACAACAGCGTCCCATGTCGCAAACATCTGCCAGCAACTGGGCGTCACGCGAACATCTCGGCCTTGCGGAACTGTGTTTCTAGCACACTAGATTCGGAAATGCAAAGTATTTAATTGGAACCATATCAAACCGTTCTGGGGCCACAGCCATCCGCACGCTCTGGCAATTGGCAGTCCACCTGGCTGAAAAGCACAGCTCTCCTTTCTGCCGAGTCCTGTATCTGCGAATGCTGCAGCCACTCAACTGGACACCGCACTGCGCCTGCGCCGAGGCTACGGAGAGGCGCATCTGTTGCGGTTCTCCAGAACCTTGTGCGCAGATGTGCGGGCTGCAAGCTACGTCACCGAAAGAGCGCGACAGGCCTCGTCGAAGCTCGAACCGAATCAACTCCATTTGCAAGTACAACAACCTCAGCGACCCACTGCCGATGTAAGGAAAAAACAAAATTGGTTGGTTCCTGGAATATCAACGCCAAGCTTCTGTTTTCTAAAGCACACCAGTACGAAAAAGATCATGCTGCACGGAACAAGCAGATCTGGAAACCTCCACCCCTCTAGCAATGCAGCCAGCCGCAGCCAGTTCAGCTGGTGGCCGCGAAAATTACCGCCATGTGTTTGCAGAGCTACTGCCTCCTTTGGCCACGCTTTTTGGTGGCCATGGGCTGGTCTCGGGCTCAGGCCTTCATCACGAAGCAATCCATGTCCATGGGCGCATGGACTTGGTCGCCACTCCGCAACTGCAAGCGGTACGCGTTGCATTCATCCCACTGTGCCAGCACCACGCCAGGCTCCCAGTCATGGGGACCTGCACCTGTCTTGGCCCGGATTGGCGTGCCCACTGGGAAGCGTAAGGGCTTGGTCACTAAGCAAGCCTGGAAGCCTTCATTGAGCTCCGGCCGCCGTGGCTGCATGCTACGGCCAATGAAGATGATTTTATTCTCACGCTTTTCTCCCGGGCCCCATGGCTTGGTAAAGCCCTGATTTCGGAGCATATGAACACACTGTAGCACAAACTTTTTGTCACTGCCGGCGATGTTCAAAACTGCCTTGACACGCAGGAAATCCTTCGCTGTTTCCTCTTGCCCTAGGTACTGGTCCAAAAATCGCTGGATGGCGAACATCTGCACGGCTCCTTCACAGCGAATGCCAACGTTTGAGACAGAACGGTCCATCTTAGGCTTGTAGAACTGCCGGAACTCCGATTCATCCATGTACTGCTCGTCCAGCACCCTCTCCAAATTGAAGGCGCCGACGTTAAACAGCTTGTCCATTGGAGCCTGCGATTGCTGGCACCTGAGAATCTCGGCTGCGCCGTTAAGCTCCTTAATGCGCGCCTCCACCTTCTTCAGGTGTGCATCATCCACCAGATCAATCCTGGACCCAAACTCTCTGAATTACGTGCTTCGACTCTGCATGCACTGGCTCGCAGTCTCCAAGAAATGTCGACACGAATGCAAAATCAACATATTCGCTTCCAACTCGAACATGCCCCAGGCGAAAACAACAGCTGCCGGGGCAGCATTCTGTACTGGGTACTTAACTGTGTAGGGTTCACGGCAGCATACTTGGAGGGTGGTCTTGTGGTGGGCACTCCAAGTAGACTCTGCTAAGCATACCCTGCTGGATGGATGCTCTGCAAAAACTTCCGGGATGTGAGCACTTGGGGCCTAGTACTGCTGGGGTGGACGATCCAGAAAGTCGGGGCGGGCACTCCGACACTCAAGGCTACTCTGCATTACGGGAGGGCCTTAAAATTTAACAACCCGACACTGCAGGGCATCTGCACATGGTACCAGCATCGTTTCGGCCAAGTTGCTTGTTCAGCAGGACAGTGCTCGAAAATGCAATCTGCGCACAGGCAGTGCCCTTTTCTGGGTCGCCTTTGCTCTCGTCTAGCTTGTCGATGGCATGCTTGGCATCCACCAAGGTCACCACGTTGTCCACGTAGAATTGCCTCTGCACCTGCGGGTCCACGATGAACGTCTGAACCACCGGTGCCGGATCAGCCATCCCAGTAAGCTCAATGAGCACGCCGTCGAGATGAGCTCCGCCAGTAGCGTATTTCTCACCAATCTTGTGTAAAGACGCAATCAAATCCCCGCGCACTGTGCAGCAGACGCAACCATTATCCAACAGCACAAGCTCCTGTGCCATTTCCACTTGCTTCTGATCGACGAGTGCGTCGTCGATGCTGACTTCGCCAATCTGGGGGGAAATCGAGAATCGAATGTCCAGGTGCAGCTGTGGGCTTGGGGCCTTTAGCCACTTTAAAACTTTAGGCAAAGTTGGAGGCCGACTTGGGTTTAATTCAACTAGTTAATTGAAGCAAATGATCCCCGAGTCCTCGTTCTCGATCACGGCGAGCTTCTTGTCGTGCTGCACTCTCAAGATGTAGTTCAACAACGTGGTCTTTCCTGCTCCCAGGTAGCCCGTGAGGACTGTGACCGGCAGCCGTCCACCGGATCGACGAACATCACCGTAGCCGTGACTATGCCCATGACCCGAGTGATCCTCTGCCTCCGTCTTCTGCCTCTTGTCCATGTTGGATGTGCAGCGCACCACTGCTGCAGCTAGCGGGCAGTGGAGCTTAAGCCTGCAAATGCGAATCGCATTATCAATCGCCGATTGATAAAGCGTTGAAAAACCCATCGCAGGCATGCTGCTCTCATGCAACTTGGTGTGCCAAACAAGCTGGTCCAAGCATGACTGCTCCAAAGTCACGTGCTTCTCAGTGCCTAGCTCTTCGGGATCCCGCCCGGCTTCGATGATGGAGAGGCCTGCAGCACAGTGGCCAACAAACCGAAGGCACCAAAACCGGTGCCGTCGGTGCCTGTCCTTCCCTGAGGCATGCGCCAATCCGGCTCAACTTGACTTCCACCTGAATCTTGCCACCATCATGGTCGGCATCATCGCTGCGTCATCAACACCCTGTTAGTTACTGCATAAGCACGACAGTTTCCATTACCGCACCATGATGAACACCGTCGTTTTGGTCGTCGTCGCCGGGATGATCGCAATGGTACTCGGCATCATCAGCACTACTGCTGTCGCGGCCCCAATTGCCAACAGGGCACCATTTCATGAAAGCAGGTAGTAGTAGTAGCAGTAGTAGCAGTAGTAGTGGTGGTAGCAGTCGCAGTAGCAGCCAGCAGTACCAGTATCCTTCCTGGGATTCCTGAGTTGCTAAGGTCATCCAGTGATTATTCAAAGATGCTGATGAAACGGGCTGTTGGTTTGCTCTGTACAGTATGCGCTTGCCAACTGTTAATGTTATCTTGACTGCTAGAGCTTCGGCTCGGGTCATACGGCATGCTGGGCCCCTCGGGGCGGTGCCTTTTTCTTCGGACCATAAAAACTTATGGTGTTGCTGAATGCAGCGGTTGAGCCTGCCGGACGCCAGGTGCACTCCGTCGCGACCAGAGAGAGCGCAGTAGCAGTAGCAGTAACAGGAACAGTAGTGGTAGCAGTAGTATAGTAGTAGTAGTAGTAGTAGTAGTAGTAGTAGTAGTTGTAGTGGTAGTAGTGGTAGTAGTGGTAGTAGTGGTAGTAGTGGTAGTAGTGGTAGTAGTGGTAGTAGTAGTAGTAGTAGTAGTAGTGGTAGTGGTAGTAGTAGTAGTAGTAGTGGCAGTGGTAGTGGTAGTGGTAGAGTAGTAGTAGTAGTAGTAGTAGTAGTAGGTAGTAGTAGTAGTAGTAGTAGTAGTAGTAGTAGTAGTAGTAGTAGTAGTAGTAGTAGTAGTAGTAGTAGTAGTAGGTAGTAGTAGTAGTAGTAGTAGTAGTAGTAGTAGTAGTAGTAGTAGCTTTTTGTCACCCACATGGCACGCCAATGACAGCTCCGTGGGGACTTAAAGGTCAACAAGTCACAAGTGCATCCCCTCTCAGAAAACGGCGGAACAGAAGGTAAGGCCACGAGGACAGGGGACAGCACTTGATCCGGCACTACACGGCTACTCACCCCTAGCACGGTAAGGAGCCGTTCCCCAAGATGACAACCCTAAATGCGCAGCAACCATAATCCGCAAGAGAGGCTCCCTACCATGTCAGACATGGGCAGTACAAACTACCATCTACCTTCTCCACTACTCGTTTTTTGCACCTACAGTTACAAATTTCCATGCACAGTCGTGGTCGACGATCAACGATCAATTAAGTTAATAAGAAAGGCAGCAAGGTTGTGCACGTTCACACGTGAATTCACATCGCTGTCGGACTTCAAATTGCAGAAGGAGTCAGAGGTACGTAGCAGTCCTTACCCCCCAGTATAGCCTAAACATCCATCCATTCCCCGACTCAATCTGCGAAATACAGGCATGGCCTCACAATCTAACTAGACATCTCGCTTTGTGCAGGGTATGGTCACAATCGTGGCATGGCAAGGGGCAGCTCTCTGCTCGTTTACCGAGGCTGCCATGTCTGTACTGTCATCTTGCATCGTTGCTGGTGTTGTCCCGAGTCAAGAATGGCGGCATCTGCAGTCCAGGGCCGCTTTTTTGCCCCATCGGCGCACGTTCAGCTGCCGTTGCCGTGAGAGTGCGCCCATAGATAGTGGCGGTGCCCCCGGTTCATGCGAAACTGGCCTCCACTGTAACGGCAACTGCAGACCAGGGCCGTATCCATATCAGCGATGCTCCCATTTTCAGGCTTACTATGGCTTCCACTGTATTCGTGGCCGCAGACCAGGCCCACGTCCACCACAGGGGAGGACATCCACAATGTACGGTGTGTGTTTTTGGTCCCAGCTCGAAAAGTTTTACAAAACAGAGGATAACCATCGTCACAATATGGAGTCACCTGTCAACCGAACGTAGGAAGGTGACCGGGAGGACGCTTGTCATGTGTCCCCACTACCGGTGTTCCATACCGGTTTGTCCGCGCTCTATGACCCCCGGAAATCTGTAGAGACGCATAGCTCAGCTCGTCCCCAGAAAGCGGTATAGCATATAAGCGGCAACTGCAGACCAGGGCCGCATCGAGTCGCTGCATCGCAGCCCTATTTCTTGCGTGTTTGGAAAGCTACCTGAAATTGGCGGCAGCATGTTTGTAGCTGTCACTGTCGATGTCAGCACCACACCGAGATGCAGCAACTTCAGTCCAGGGCCGCTCGTCATTGGCTTTTGCACGGGTCAGCGGGTTTCTGCATGTTCGGTCCATGCAAGTCATCATCAGGTCAGTATGACAGGAAGCCTGAATCGCAGAAAGCCATTGCGCCGTGTGCACGGGGCTTGTGAAACATCAAGTGAGAGAGCGCAGGCCATAATCAGTGCAAGGGGAGAGAGGTAATGAAGAGAGAGAGAGAGGACAAGGCGACAGAAGAAGAAAAGAGGGAGGCAAGGACAGGAAAGGGCAGTGCAGCAGTGCATTAGGTGACAAAGGCAAGGCAGTCAAAGGCTCAGTGCAGTAGCAAAAGTAGCCGTGGGTGGTGGAAGGATTGGAAAGTGGGTAAGTGGGCTGTCCATGGCGTGTTGCACACCGGTTCGCCCTTTTTCCGTCCCTGATCAGCTTCACGGACACGAAAACAACACGACGATACAACATCATGCGGTTACTCATCACCGGACGACGCCTCGATGCAAAAGCAGACTACAACGTCATCATCTTCATCAGGTACCTCAAAGGGGCATGGCAAGTAGTAGTAGTAGTAGTAGTAGTAGTAGTAGTAGTAGTAGTAGTAGTAGTAGTAGTAGTAGTAGTAGTAGTAGCACTAGTAGTAGTAGTAGTAATAATAATAATAGTAGTAGTAGTAGTAGGAGGAGGAGGAGGAGGAGTGGTAGTAGTAGTAGTATGGCGTGAAACATCTTTGGCTAGCCGTGGCTCTTGTCCATGCTAGGTTCGTTTGGTTAGACTTGCAGTTGATGCGTGTTCCGGAGCTCCATGTGGGATATGTTAGACAGTTTCACGGCACACATGCCCGACAAGGGTCTTCGGTCGTCTGATCCAGAAAGGAGCCTGAGGATCCTGGTTCTGGCTGCTCGCCTAATATCCTGCCGTCGCTTCTAGATTCAACTGCGAGCCACGAGTCCTCAAAAGCCGGAATGAAGTCTCCCGCTCACACCAATTAGTCGCTCGCTTGAGCACAGTAGGCTAAGCGAGCTCCGAACTGTGTCCCTTGTTCTTCCTAGTTCTGCACGATGTGAAAGTCACGTGGCTAGAGCCACGATGTCCATGTGTCCAGCGCTCGGGAGGCGGCTCGCTGGCTCCAGGATGCAATCGCTTCCTTGGAGCCCGGAGTCTTGGGCGTTGTGAGTCGTAAACCACATGTAATTTTGTTTGCAAGGAATCACAGTCACTTTGATCCAAGTATCCAAGGAAGCCTCCGCATCAATGGGGCCTGTGCACCATGAGGAGTGGCCGTTCAATTTTATCTTATGTCCTTCCTGCGCCCCCTGCCTTCCTCCACCAAGGCAAGGACCTGAGAGCTAAAGCTTGCATTGTTCCCATGTCGCATCTGCGCCGCAAGCAGAGAAGGGATACGGCCGTCTTTGCATCAGCACGGAAGATGCAGATGGCCAATCCTCGGCGGCTACACATGGCTACACCGTATGCTCCCAGAGGTGGCCTCAACTCAACACAAACCTACACATGCCCAACGGCAGCGTCTGAGAGATGATCCAGAATCTGCTCCAGGCAATGGCCGGTGAAGAGAGCGTCTTGCATCTTGGATGTGGTGCCTAGCTGAATAATCGAAGTGTGGCGCGTCTATGCAGTTTCGAAGACGAGAGGGTACCGCAGCCTGCGGCCATTCACCACCACATCCACGGCTAGTGGAGTTGCCCCTTCTTTGACGACAAATTCCGATGCCATTGGCTCTCGCCAGCCGTACCTGCCCGTCGGCATCAATGACAACAGCGCTGAGGAATCCTGTGCAATCTTGGAGGGCCAAACGTTGATAGATGTTGATTTAAAACCTCAGACCTGAACCCCTTCAAATGTCGGAGCTGCAGATTGTAGAACTACACCTTTGAGGTTCGGCCCTTGTGAGTCTGCTCTGAGGATGGAGTAGAAGGACATATCGCAAGGCTACATCGCTACGGACCTTACTATATAAGTTATATAAGCCATCAGTGCGATGCGATCCTTTTCGTCTAAGCTTTTGCAGAGGTTGGCTTTGCAGGCACTTCACTGAAAATCATGCTCAGCACCACCACAGCTGCCCCAAGCCACTCTCTCACACAAGGCCAGGGATCTCCCATTATGATGCCGAAGCCCAGGTTCAAGACGATGGTAAGGAAAAAATACTTCGCCGCGCTGACCATAGGGTTGCGCAGGACTTGCGTCAGCGCAAGCTGCGCCAACTGCATGGACAAAGCAGTGGCCAGGATCCAGAGCAGCTCGCTTCGATTGGGCCAAAGAAAGCCTCGGAACGAATCAGAGCTCGACATGGAACACGCGCTTGAGGAGGGGACCGTCCATGGCTCCAGAAAAAAGAAAATAACCAACAACGTGACAGCTCGCGATAGCAGCCTTTGGCTGGGTGGGGGGGGCACTCGGAACCCCTAGGTTTTCATGCCGAGGCACCATGTGGTAAACCTAGCGCCAATGAGCCGCACAAGTTGCCCCAGTGAAAGGCTTCTCGTGCATGATGTGGTGCCTCATCTAACACTGAGAGCGTTCGCACGCAGAGCAGTGCCGCAGCGGTGAAGAAGGCCGCGGACACGCAGCACATGTAGCCGTAGGTGCTGTTCTGAGCCGAGGAAAGCAGCTCCTGAGCTGTCATGCTGTTCCCTTCCACAGGCAGCTGGATTCGAATCGCTTGCCGAGTCCTCGGTGCGTGGTACCAGCATAGCGGTGCCAAACGCAGCCGCGAGAAGGGCTATCAGCTGCCTTGGCTTCACGGGCTCGCCGAGGATTACGCCGGCCAAGGCGGTGGAGAGCAACGGGTGAAGCCTGCGAATCGACAAGCCCTTGTCAGGAACCAGGAAGCTACACCTTTGTGATCTGGCAACTGCCACATCCTGCACGTGAACCCAAGGCTGACTGGCTAGAAGAAGGATACCTCTGAAACTGGAATATGCCAGTGGGACAGCATATGGCTTCCGACGCATGGGTGACATACGGTGACGTCGGGACGGTTGGCTTTCTTTTCTCAATCGCGAGGCCTTGAGATGAGCGTCAGAGTAGCCAGCGGGACCCGGGCGATGGATTCGTAATACGACCACACCTTGGCGGAGAGACCACTAGAGAATGCAGCAGGAGGGCACAAGAGCATGTAGCTGTACTAACCGGCTCGGTCAAGGCACGGCAACGAATCCCAAAGCTCCTCTCAGAAGCAGCAAGCCGCGATACCGCGAGTTCAACGGAGGCCAGGGCACCTCGCCTGTCAGGGAAAGATAAGACTAGCCAAAACGAACCTCCACACACCGGGATTCTGCACAAGCGCCTGCCACGGGGGCCATTACGATGCAGAAGCAGCTTCTGAGGAATATTCGTTCATAGCTGGACAAACGAGTTCCAGTTGCTTTTGTCGCCTCTGGCACACCAGCATGCGCCCATGCACGCATGTAGAAGTCCTTACACATCTCAATGCTGCAAGCCCGGGCGCCGCCGCAAGTGCCGAAAAGCCCACAGCCATGCAGATTCCAGGCCAAGCAGTACCTGCCATGCGCTGGCATGTACAGTGAATGAACTGTGGATTGCTGATGCTTGTCTAGCTTCGAGCAGGTGTACAGGCTATGCTCGCCACTCATCGCCTCCGACATGCTTCGTGTTGGAAGAGCTTCTGCTTGACTGCCGAGAGGACAGCAGCGGAACGCTTGCAGACATGGCGTCGGAAGTGATCCAACTGATGCCTGCTGTCTGTCACAGAAAAGTGACTGGTGACGGAATCTGTGATGGATTCCTGTTCGTAAGCTCCAGTGACATGTTGGGCATCATGGAACGTCACCCTAGCACCAAGGTTTGGAAGAAGAGGCAATCTTGATCTTCACTGAACAAAACTCGCAGTGTTTCCGTGGAATGTCCTGTTTGCTTGCAATCCATGGGCCGTGGACAATGTCAAGGGCTGTAGATTTGACAGGGAATGAACGAATCTAATGAAAGACATCTGACAGACGTGCTGCGCACATCATGCGACAGGGCAGGTCACTCCAAGGACTGGCCCGGCAGCACCACCTGCATCATGTGAATATGAACAAATGTCGAGTCGACACTTCCACGCGAAAGAACTGCCGAGAGCCACCAAGCCGTCAAAGTGCCTGTTAAATGTTCTGCGCATGTTAGGATTAAGTCTTTTTCACCTCTCGAATGCGATGGCCGAGCCACTCTGTGAAGCGCTTCTCCTCGATGCTCGCGCGATTTATCTCTCTGCGCGCCGACCACAAAATTTACAATTCTCAAAGTCGGAAAATCTGGAGACTAGGAAGCGCTTTGGCAATCAGGAATTGCTTTGCCCGATCGTGTATCAGCCAGACGAGCGATGGAAGTGCATCATCTTCCTGCCAGATGCGCCCACGGCCCACTCAAAACAACAATAGGGCTACAGCAGCTTCTGTGAACGAGGGCATCGGACGATCGTGCAACCAAGCTTCCACTGCTTCAGGTCACTCGAGAACTCCCACACTCGGGTCTCCTGACCAGCGCACTGCACGATGACTATCAAAGCTACAGAGATCCGAAGGCTGCCTCGGTAGCCACGGTGTTGGTACCAGATTGCACCAACCGCTTAAAGCAAACCTCGGCTTTGTTTGCTTGGAGGGGGATTTCGGGACAGCTGTGTAGATCAAGGAAGCACAAACACATTGTCAGAGATGCCGTGGAATATGTGCAACTTGGGTGCAATGGCAGCCTGGCGCTGACAAAGCCATGTAATATTTGGCGAGGACATGGTCGACTGGGTGGTCAGCTTGCTGGCTGTCTCCTCCTGTGGCTCGTCGGCGACCCCGTTTTCGACGAATCCAGAACGTGTTTGATTTCCAACAAGTGGCAAATCCCTGGTTTCTCAAGACTCTCAGAGCTTGCAACGTGCATGCAACCGACCGAGAACAAGCTCGCACATCTTCACTTCCTCAGGCGATGCCTCGTCGACAGAGTCCGAGGCTTTTCTTTTTTTACCCTCACGGAGCAGTCAACTCACGGAGTACGCGATGCTAGCTTCAAACGGCGAGGGCGACTGCACGACGCTTAGAAGACCCTCCAAAGCTCTCACTCCTTCGTCATCTGCTCCTTCAGGTCGAAATAGTATTTGTGGAAATTGAGGCCAGTCCTTGCTGATTTGAGGCTTCTGCCGTTTTCTCAGCAGTTCCGAATCACACTACGACCTTCGCACCAGAAGTGGAACCTCAAAGCCGGGCAAGCGACACGAGATGGCCTTTCGCTTCGGGCTCGAAGCAGGACAGCTTTTTATCGCAAGCAAGCTCGTAGAGGCCATAGTTTCCTACGGCCGGAGAGGCTGCCAGTGCCAGAGTTCTTTGATTCGTACATGCGCTCTCTGTCTGCACATGATCGCTACAAGTAGTAGTCTTTCGCCACATTTCACTACCGACAACGCCTTCGCCAACTGCTTGCATCAGCAGGGCGTTGAGGGACAGCATCTCGTCATCCTCTTCGCCAGTGCATGCTGGTGCACACGCACAAAATCTGGCAACAATGCTGCAGCGTTGGGTGTGGATTCGTGTTGCGCGAAAGCATGTCCTGCAAAGCTTGCTTCTTCAGCAAATCAACAAGCGACATCTTCGCCAAGGTCCTTGCTAAGCCTCCGCACTTGCATGGGCCACCAAAACGGCTGTCATCGGCGTCGCAATGCTGCACAAATGCTTCGGGCAGTGCTCAGACAGATGCGAACATGCACGGGACGGCGACTGATCCCTGCTTTAAGATATCTGGTATCTGGTACGCATCACAAGCCGAAGTCACTGCAAGTCACGGCACAGAGTCACCGCCAGTGAAAGAAGATCTCAGCCCAACTACGATTTGCTGTAATGCTTGAACGCATCAAACGGAGGGCGAGCGTGAAGCGCTTTGGAAATTGAAGTTTGAAGATTGGAGAATGAAGAGTTTGAAGTTTGCAAGTTGGATCGTTTCTAGATTGAGAACATGCTGCAATTTGATGGCGCGAAGCCGCGGCGACACACCCCGTTTGATTGACATGAGGTGGAGGACACGGGCTGGCCAGACAGCGCCTCGCAAGCTCGAGCTTGAAAGTTTGCGAGGTTGAAGCTTGAAGTTTAAGGAGTCCGAGGTGGAAAGGTTCGAAAGGTTCAATGGCCGACAATTTGATTGGCTGAAATTATCAGAGCTCGAAGGATTCATTTTTGAATCTTCGAAAGATCGATAGACAGATAAAGACGCAGAGCTTGAGAGTTCAAGGCCTCAACTATTCAGAGTTCGGATAGAAATGGAAGACGACATGTTGGAGAGCTTGAGATGGAAAAGGAAAGAATTTGAGAGGTGATAATACGCTTTACGAGTATCACCTGGCGTTCGGAGCCTATGTCTTGAGTGTTGGATTTTTTGCCCTCACACTCGGCAATACCAGGCGGGGTCTGTAGATAACTAGGGGCTCCAACAGATTGATTATGGGATTCCTGACGAGGGCGTGAACTTGACAGTGATGACGGGGCAGGTCTGACGCAATCGTGTGATGAGGAGACGAGACATGCGATTAAGACATGTGATCGACCGTTATCAGTTGGGGGGGGGGGGGCATGGTTAAGGAAAGCCAGCTGCAACTGTCGCCTGATTTTCCTCACCTGCCAGGCTGACCAAGCCACACCGCATGGAAACTCGCTTAAGGAGGGGCTGGGATCAGATGTGATCGACCGTCATCGTTGAAGGAGGAGGCCATCGCCCACCCGGGGGGTGGATTCAGAATGTTTGTGCCGTTTGCATACCTGCAAATTGTCAAACTCTCAAGCTTTAAACCCGCAACTCGGCGGACTGCAAACTGTCGAACTTGACGTTTTTGAAAGTTCGAAGGGTTCAATCTTCCAAACTATCGAACCCTCGAGCTTTCCTGCCGTCCAGCCGAAGTTGCAGCGAACCTTTCAAGCTCCCTTTCGAACTTCGGAAAAGCATAGTTGGTCGAACTCGCAAAGAACTCCAAACATTGAAACTTCGAGCGCTGATCAAAGTCCGCCGAGGCTGAAGCTCGGAGCTTGAGCTGGAAGCTGCTAGTCGAGCTCGAAAGTTGTAAAGATTGACTTTCAAGTTTGAAGTGGCAAGCTTGAAGTCAGCTCCCTTGCTCTCTTCAACGTGCCCGAATTCTTGCAACCTTTACAATCAAGACTCGAAGTTGGAAACCATCAAGCTTCCAAATCTTCAAACTTGCAAACTCTCCAACCTGCGAGCTCCAACACCCTCGCTCGAGATGCCTGTCTGTCTTGCTTGCTTGCTTGCTCGGCGTTTGGGGTGGGGGAAGCGGGTCCCCAGCCCCTGCGCGAAGGCGCGACGCCAAGTGTCCACGTCCGGTAATCGGTGTGAGACTGTGAGTGGGTTCGGAGTCGAGCTGAACTGGCTAGATTTTTTTGCCCCCCTTCCTTTGTTGCCCTGCGATGGTGGCACGTGCACAAGCATGTCCCCGCCTAGTTCCGTTCGGTTGCTCCGGTCTTCCCTCTTTTTTGTTTCTCTGTGCTTGCCTTATGCCCTCGTTGTTGGTGGCCGGCAAGCGACTGCTCAGGGCTTTCACTTAGACAGGGCAGAAAGCAACACAACTCAGCGTCAGCATGCCGTACATACCTAGCTGCGAGTAGTTTGGGCCCCTGTCCTCGGCTGCTGTTGAACAGCCGCAGACCTTGTTGGTTTGGTGGGTGTTTGCTGTTGTGGCAGTGTGTCCCCCAGGGGAAGGAAGCAAAGGGGTGAGGTTACCATCAAACAGTAGGGGAAACATGCATGTCTGTCTGTCTGTCTCTGTCGGTCTGTCGTTCTGAATAGCCAATTAACCATCTAGCCACCCTCTCCATCTAGACAACCCCTGTAGCTCTTTCTCTCTCTCTATCTGTCGGTCTTCTTGCCATGTAATATCATGTAATTGTGCAAGAACACGCGTGTACATGCATACGGATGGAGGGTCAATGTAGAGAGCGACAGTGAGAGAGAGAGAGAGAGAGAGAGACAGAGAGAGAGAGAGAGTGAGTGAGAGTGAGAGAGAGAGAGAGAGAGAGACAGAGAGAGAGACAGAGAGAGAGAGAGAGAGAGAGTGAGAGTGAGAGTGAGAGTGAGTGTGAGTGTGAGAGTGAGACGAGAGGGAGTGAGAGAGAGGCGCCCTGTGATACGTTATCCCGTTGAACGCCATTTTCCAAACACGTCTTTCCGGCCCTTGCTTTCGCATGGGCACAGAGATCCGCCGAGTCTGAAAAGGCTCGCGACATCCTAAGAAAGTCAAATTCAGCTGCTGCTTTGGCTGCTGACTGAAGCATATCCGGAATCGGAGCTGTCACTGCTGGCATCGCTCGCCGCACCTAAATGATCCAAAAGCACCATGTGGGATGAGGGGCCCGCCTAGCACCGTGGGGCTTGCAGGATGCAAAGCGCATTGCTCTACAGAAGCCCTAGCCATGATCTAACCGGAACTGGACCGTAGCCGGACGATGCTTCGGGCTGGTCCGAATACGTAGTCAGTGAAACAGCGGGAATCCCACGCGGTGAGGCAGGTATTTAAGTGACATCCAAGTCACCGGGACTCAGCATAGTGAACCTGGGAGAACTGCTTCTCCTGCCTGTCCTGCCTCTCTGTCAATCATGAGTGTTCCCCCTCTTTGGGCGTGATGATGCAAATCAACCTGTGTTAGCGAGAAGTTCTGCCGCTGCCTGTACTGCCACCACTAACACCACAAAACCCGCCTGGACCTCAACTGCGCATTGCCTTCCAAACCGTGTGTGACCACCGGGGATTTTCCACCCAACAGCTTCAAGCCTTGTGAAGCCTGTGCAGCCAGGGAGTCAAGGCGGCTAGGGTCCAGTGACTAGTGACCAGTGCATGCACTCTTGTGTCAGAAAGCCAGCCCTCATCGTCACCGGTCTCCCCACGCCTCCGCACCACCCCCAAAATGTCCAATCATCCTCCCTCACTCCATTCAACACGCTGCCCCACGGTTCGAAACCCATCCACAAGACATGCACACGAGATGCCTGTCTGTGGACAAACCGGCGATTCGCCGCATAATCTTCCTGACCGAGTCATTGAACAAGTCAATGGTCCCAAAGGCTGTGTGGATGATGCTGAGAATTGTCTCCTGTACAGACGAGACAACAGGTGTGATCTACACGGCGCGTGCATTATTCCGAAGAGTCTTCAACCTTTCTGTGCTGCTGGAACCGGGGGAAAGCGTGAGTCTCCCGACAATGAAACCTTGTAGTTTTGGAACATCCCAACTTTGAACTGGCACGTTTGGTCTCAAAACGCGAACACATTCACGGATCCATGAAACTGGCACATTTGTGAATGTTGGGGGGGCATACGAAGAACTCCGTACGAGTAGCTCGTGGTTTGGGGGGCGCTTCGGCCAACGACGTTTACAAGCTTGATCCCTGGCGGTCAGATCCTTGTCAGCTGGTACTGAGCAATCACACCCGCTGGCATCGAAGTTTTTACCTCTGCAATGCGGCAAAACACAACAAAGGCAAGAGGCTCTGCCAAACCAGCGCTTTGCGACACATTCATGCTAAGGTGGCAATAGCTGCTCGGCACCTCCTGAATCACTAAGTGCCCTGACAAAGCTCTGCAGTACTGTCGGAGGTGCATTGGTTGCCGATGGCTGTGATCTCGGATTGATCAGGCCCAGCGAGCAGGACACAGTCGATGTCACACGGCTTTCCACCCATGTGTACGAAGGTGAAAAGTTCAAGTATGCACCACAGTCCTCAGCTCTTTGGTCGACAGGCCCCGGGCAGTCCGAAAAGTCCAATCTCCAAGCCAGGTGCTCACGTATCGGTCCACGGGTCTGCTAGCAGCCCTGTGTTTAAGCAAGCATCTGCTGAGATAAGTGGTCCCGCAGAGTAGCAAAAGAGTTTCGCATCCTGAGAGGAAGATGGGCAAGCTCCGCAAGTTGGATTCGATGTCCTGCTGGTTGATACCTTGCCGGGACAGTGCACCGTGCACAGGCAGAGGCCAAGGGTGGGCATGGCCCAAACTGCTTCCAAGTGTCATGCTTTGTCCAGCCAGACACTGGGAGAACGTCCAAAGCGAGAATTGAAGGCATGCTTCCAGGACTGCAAGGCATCCCACTTGGCGTCTGCATCGTCACGCCAGGAGTGGGATACGAAGGCATCACAGCTGCCCAGTGAAGCTGGTCGCGAGAGCTCGAAAAGGTGAAGAGAAGGCTGATTGTCACCTGGCTTAACGAAATGCAGCCCGCAAAAATGCTGCGAAAACCATGGGTTATGAAAGGCCTCGAACAAACTAAGTCAGTCCTAAGGCAAGAACTGAGATCATCCTTCTGGAGCATGTCGCAATCAATTATGCGGAACTGCGACTCTGCTTTCTTCAGCGCCACGCTGACATCGCAAGCTCCAATCAAGCTCGCCTCAGTCAAACGAGGAATGAGGAGTGGCGACCCCATTCTGCTTGTCGAGCTCGGGCCAAGACCACTCCAGCGGCTGCAGCAGTCCGCTCCGTATCCTTGAAGTAGCGGTGGAGTGCAGCATGCAGCCGATGGCGAAGCTCTGGAAAGAAGCTGAACAGCCTCATCCACACTTACTGGCGACTGTAGGGCACGTGACATTGCTTGTTCGACGAATGTGCGAGAATGTCGCCACAAAAACGGCCAAATTCACCGTCGATCTCAACCAAGCAGCAGACCGAAGGAATCCCCAGCAATGAAGATGATGGCCGTCGACCTCACGTGTGTGAAGAAGCGGTTGAGGATGAGGAACAGAACGTCGGCCTGATTGCATCGAAAGACTGGTCGCTGATCTGTGCCGTGCTTCTGCCCGGGAAGATCCGTGCAGAAGAGCTGCGGCAAAATTGACTCGAAAGAATATGCTCCACATTCGCCAGAAGCCTTGGCTTGTCGCCCAGATCTGACGGAGTCCAACTCGCTCAGGCTGAGTACATTACATCGAACGCGACAGTTTGGAAACTGATCGTTATAACCCTGCCAAGCGGCAGAAATAATAAAAACTCATGTGTTGGTGCGAGACGAGGATGAAACCTAAACCTAAACATTTTCGGCCCACGGATGTGAACGGGCTTTGCTGGATGGCCATGACGTAGTGTCTCAAGACGCAGCGCCTTCAAATCAGCGTGCTTGTCGACTCAGATACTCCGCAAGGTCTAGGCCTGGTCCAAGTCCGACGCTGAACACTTCGGACTCCAGACAATTTGTTCGTGCAAGCCCAGCGCATGCGCCACTCCGGAGGCGAAAGCGCAGGGAACAGCCGGGCACTGTAGAACGCCGTGAGTCAGATCTGTGACACAAGACTGCTCTGACTCTGACAGTCACATGAGCCTCGGCAATTTCGGCACTCGACTCGAACACCCCTCCGTACGCTGCAGCATGCTATGTCTGCGAGTAGCAGACTGCTACTGCTGCAGATGCCCTTCCGAAGTCAAGTCATGATATTGCAGAGGCACGAAAGATCCATATGATGGTGAACTTTAGACAGACCTCAAGCACCCGAGCTGTGCTTTCGTAGGACAAGTTGCTGACCTGCATTTTGTCCGCGTTGGGCTGTGAAGCCGTAGTAAGGAAGCCCAGGAATGAGACCAAGTTCCAAAGCACATTCCAGCCCTTGGTACAATGCAGGCATTCTCGCTTTCAGAAGGATGCCAGCTTGGCCTCCCACGCTCTCGCAAAAGAACCAAATACACGTAGTCCGGCTGCTCGCCTCGCAGTCCCCTTGGCATCGCATGGCATTTCGCAAAAGCCCTTTGGCAAACTGGCCTTCAATGTGGGGTCAATGGGTTCTTGCAAAGCCGCCATCCATCAAACCCTAAGTGGGAATGCAACCTCTCGCGCGTAAAATCAAAACATGGCTCAGCATCCGCACTCGGCGTGCTCTTGATTAAGCAGGGTGAGGAATTCCTTAGAATGAAACGACGCAGTTTTGCCATGTTGGGCCCATGTACAGACTGCCACCCGATTCGTGATTGGCTCTGCTCAAGAGATCTTGCGCAGAGCCATGGTACACAAGATCGGATTGCTGCTGCCACGTCTCGAAGATAGTGAAAACAAAGCACAGAAGCGTCACGCCCGAGATAGAAAGCCGTGTCAAATTTGTGTCATCTGGCAGAGGAGCTGATGCAAAGCATGCCTGAGTAGGAACTGTATGAACTCCAAGCACGAGTGAAACAGACAAGTGCAACAAATTAGAACCGAACGCCCACCGACGTGATGGGATTGGTGCTCCGGCATTCTGGTGATGCGATAAAGGGCATGAACTCCCCCGTCGTAGCAGTATCTCATTTCGGCGGTGTCCCCACGGCTCCCGGTGGGCATCGTCATCGCGGCATTTTCTCATCGCGGGGCAGTTTCCTGCGACGATATCCGCACTGCCTGCAACATTATGCGTCGCGACGTGTTTGTCTCGGCGATTTTCGGCTGCTTCGACTATTGCTGATTGTCTCTGCTCCAGACATGTAGACATATGGTGTGTGTGTATATATACATATAAAAATGTACATATACATACATATATATATATATATATATATAGGTATACATATATATATATATAGGTATATATTATATGTATACATAATGTGTGTGTTGCATGTGTTATCATTAACCCAATCTTTCGGTAGTCCTGTTACTAGCACTAGTCACTAGTCATTAGACGAGCTTTTGCGCACCAGTGTCTTGTTCATCGGCTTTTGCTTAAACTTTGCAGGCACCGTCGAAAATAGAACAAGAATGGCCAGACAAACGCGACCTCCACAACACTCGACTGAACGCTTCACAGAGGCATGCGTTAAGGGAAGTGAGTGGGTGTGATTCTGAGCCCAATTTCAATGTTAATTTCCCCTTCTGCTCTCGGCAGAAACAACCAAACAGCTATTTGCTGAAGAACTGTCGGGACAGGCCCCTTGTGGCGCAAGTATCTGCACAAGGGCATCCTACAGGACCATCTGTCGAGACACCATCCCGATGGCGCAAATTGCCCACCCGACTGTCAGAGGGACCCGATGCGAGCTTTCGAATCGCACATCAATGAAAAGCCTCGGTTGCACGTTGTCCATGCCGGGATGCTGTCTATGTCTGTGATGTATGTATGTTCGACAGTGTCGCGCAAGCTCTGCTGACGACTCAAGCTTCATGCATTGCAGGCACCAAGTCATAACCGAGAGTGCCATGATAAGGCCAGCGATAACCATGGAGCCACTGATCTGCCATCGGATTTTCCGCAGAGCCCTCTGCCCAAGAGAAAGTCGCTCCAGGAGTAGTTCCTGGTGCCTTTCCTTGGTGTCCTTCCTGCCAAAGTCACGCGGTTTCTGAAGACTGAACACGGCTTTGACACGTCTTTGATTGCCTGTTACTCCAGTTCCCGCGTGAACAGTCCCCGGCCTGTTGCGACTGCGAAGAGCGGTGCAGTACATCATGCTTTCGCATCGACATCTGTTGAAACATGCGGCAGGCTATGGCATGCTCCTGTCTTAGAGTCTTAGAGTGCTGATGCAATCCAAGTCAGCAGCTTTTAGATGTGTTCGGGTGGCTTTCTCCTCGTGCTCGCTGCTCTGTTGCGACAACTAAACTTACTTGGCTTCTACAGTCTTGAATCCGCGGTGTAGCACGGAAAACTTGCGAAGCTGCCATCCTAAGCACTAGGCACTTCAGACCTGCAGGGACTGTGAGGCCTTTTAGGGCCTGTTGCAGCGCAGAATCAAACCTTTATCGACTTTCGGTGCAGGGCCGTGCCTTGCCATGGCGGCAGCCTGCAGGATGAACAGACCTGAGGCATCTGGCCAGGAGGCGTTCACTCCGTGGGAGCACCTGTGCGTGCGTGCGTGCGTGCGTGCGTGCGTGCGTGCGTGCGTGCGTGCGTGCGTGCGTGCGTGCGTGGGTGCGTGGGTGCGTGGGTGCGTGGGTGCGTGGGTGGGTGGGTGGGTGTGTGTGTGTGTGTGTGTGTGTGTGTGTGTGTGTGTGTGTGTGTGTGTGTGTGTGTGTGGGTGTGTCTCTGGGTGGGTGTGTGTGTGTGTGTGTGTGTGTGTGTGTGTGTGTGTGTGTGTGGGTGTGTCTCTGGGTGGGTGTGTCTGTGTATGCATGAAGAAAGATATGTATTGTGTATGTAGACAGGCATGTGTGCATGTATGCAATGTGCGTATGTATGTACCTAACTATGTATGTATGTATGCATGTATGTACGACTGCGAGTACGTACTTGAGTGCAGTGTATCCAATGTATACAGATAGCTATTCTATGTGTGAAACTTTAGAACAAGAAGTATACATACATATATATATATGTGTGTGTGTATATGTGTACACATATTGTAAACACATTGACCATGCGGTGATACGCACACACACACACATATATATATATATACACATATTTTTTGGTTCCCACTTGGCTGATCCAAAGACCGCATGGCATATATATATATATGTGATCTAGCTTAATATATTCACATGTGTGTGTGTGACAATATACTTACTAAGTAAGATACAAATTTTCGAGTATGTCAACCTATACAGACTATGAAAAGTTACAGGTCTATTTAGGTCCAGCTAACCACCGCCTGACGAGGAATCCGAACGCAGAACACAAAGTGCGCGGCAAAGTTGCACAGCTCCGCCGCACCAGGTTTCGCGCAACGTAATCCGATCCTCGGGATGCAGATGCGAAAAACGCGGGTGGGAGCTACCTCTATGTGAAGCTATCTGACGTCGAGTGTGTTGTGGCAGGGTGGCTGAGGACGGCACCTTGCTTAAACGAAACGGCCAGTGCACCACCTCAAGCAACATGCTACATGGAGCTGCTCATTCGCTGCTTCACTGCAGCTTCTCGGGATCGTGCGGTCCGGCGTAACTTCGACACTCCATGTGTCCTGCTCTGCTGTCTCATCTTTTCCATCCTTACACTGTGTAGTCGTGATTGTCTGAATGGCCACTGCGTTTATTGGCCTCAACTGCAGGTATGGTGAAGGCCGACCTGGGCGTCCACGAGTTCCACGATGTGCATGGCAAGACAGGATGAAAATACAGGAATATGATGGAATATGTGCGAAATAGCATAACTGGGCAGCGTTACTTAATGCCGCATGCGGGCCCAATCGGATGCAAACGTGATCTGCAGGGGTCTTGTTCTGATTCGGCTCTATGTAATTCGAGGGTGAGCTTTTGTAAGATAAGCCCACAAGGCCTGAAGATCATGCTATGGGCATGCCTACAACCGACTGGACACAGGAAATTGAACAGAGCTTTTTCAAGGGTCTGCTGGATCTGCTTGGTTGCAGGCATGTGCTCTGTGACTCTGTCGAGGGTTTCTGCAGGCAGAACTGGGATTTGGGGTTCCCTGCAACCCAGCCGAGACATCGCCGCACACCACGCTTCCCGACCAAGCCGTCTCGCAGCCCTGGAATGGTGCAGTCTGGGATGGGCTGGGCCTATACCCTATACGCCATCTCTCTACATGCCGCCCGCAGCTCGGCCTCACGTAGAGGTCGGAATCGCAAAGTCGTCGTGTGCCTCGTTCACAAAGAACTCCTAACACCCGAAGCAAATTGGGCCTGCGGCTGCCTATTTACGCCTGCGCGAAGCTGCTCGAGCAAGCCGCTGAGGCAGAAACGAGTCGGAGGACTCGCGAATTTCACGTGGGCGCCAGTGGACCTGCGGCAGCGATGCGAGGCCTCGACAAGCCCCCAACAGACTACAGCGTTTCGTGATGTTTCGTGCCTCGATCGACTGATCGCCGGCAAGGCGCAGTCGCCGGTGCTCCTCGAGGCACCTGTCCAGAATCTTCGTGGAAGCAAGACTGTCTCGCAACCGACCAAGCTTGCTGCATATCCACATACTGCGGCCAAGACACAGCTCGATATCCAGAGTCGAAGCATTGGTCAAGACTAAGCGGGGGCGCAAGGTAATGACCTTCCCCGACAAGAAACTGCTCTTCCCTCGCTTGGATAGAAGCGCATGCAACCACATGCAACCCACACCTGGCATCCAGCAGAGAAGATGTTCCCGGACTCAGTCTCGAGGACGTCCGAAACCTGTGGACAAATGCACAAGCGGTGCTGCAGTGTCATTTGCTGGCAGAGCTGATCTCCAACTTCCCGCACAAACCCGACCAGGCCGACCCTGCTCAATGTTTCGAGCGACATTTTTCTGAGCCGTGGGCTTGCAAACAGAAGCTGAAATCGCCGCATGGGGTTTCCCAAAACAGGGTTGCCCAACCTGTTGGCCACAAATGTGCAAACAGCATCTGTGGAATGTCGAATTGTGAACAAGTAACTCAGAACGGAAAGCTTGCTCGAGGGGTCTGCAAACGCAAGCTGTCGGCAAGCTGACGCGCACTGCTGAGCATCTCATGCAAAGCCAGCAAGTGAAACGAAGCCGAGAGAGCTGGGCGCCGGACTGCTTGGCGATGGGAGGCCTGAAGCAGTACTTTCACTGCGCAGCAACCGAAAGCATCCCATGACTGTCACAGTAGGGGAAGTGCGGCGAAGGTCACGCTTAGATCCGAGGTGGCAACCCAAGAGCGCCAGTGACTCATGGTCGCTTCCTCGGCCGATACTGATGGACTATGCCTATATGCCCTGTCCCCAGACGATGTCCGACATCGCACGGTATTCCAAACCGTGATGCTGAACCATGTCACATGCGGGCTGCATGTCTTTGGTGCGCTGGCGAATGGGGTGCGCGGGTGCGCTGGGCTGCAGGCGCAGCAGCTAAGCTCAGCATGAGCTTCAAGTGAAACGATATGCACACGATGCCCTGAGATGCCCTGCGCAGCTACCGAGAGCCATTTAGACAACGTTTGTATGAGGTTGAATAGCCAACTCTTCCGCATGCAAGCAGCTTTTCAAAAGCTGCGAGGCCTTGATGGGCACAGCTACAGAAAGTGCCACAAAGCATCCCATCTTTTGTGCCTGCACAAGCGGGGCCAGACAACTGCTGTGTACTTGTAGCTTCTGTCTATGCTCCGGAAAAGACCTTGCAAAAAGCCTGGCTCGCACGGAAGTTGCTTACAGTTGCTGCTGCCGTCTTGGATCGAGTTGCTGTGCGAAGGGAACGGCCAGCATCGAAGGCAAACTTTGGCCCCCCTCGGCGGCAAAGAGAAAGAGAGGGTGCGGGAAACAAACGCGGCGTTGCAGAGCCACCGTTCGACCAAGGAGCGGCCAACATCACAAGCGCACATCCTCAGCAAATATCGAAATCTCTTTTGCGGGTCACAATTCAAACTTCAAAAGCGCAACCGCAAGAATGACTGCTTGCATCCCAAGCTTTTAGTTTGCCAAGTTGCCCATGTGGCCAAGGCGCAAGCCTCCAGCCCTTAGCTGCACTCCCTAGTTGGCAGTCGCTAGGCCTCGAGAGCACAGTTTGGTGGGACTTAACCCCCTTGCCGAGTTGAGCGTCGCCGACTGCCACTCTGGCACCTTGGGCACACCAATAGTGTAGCCTCGGCCGGAGGGCAAAACAATACCCGAAGCCCCAGGTCCAGCGCAACAACCACACATCTTTCGTGGGCAGGCACAGAGAAACGACTCACGCATGAGTGGCTTCCAAGTCGAGCGCAAAGTGCTGCAGCAGAATTTGAAAGGAAGTCCAGCTGATGCTGATGATGCTCGCTCGTGCGGCTCGCTAAAGCCATTCAATCACTGGCATCGAACTGCTGTGCGTGGTTTGGGTTCGCCGCCCGGCATATGGCAGGGAGAGTTTGAAGGGAAGTCCAGCTGATGCTGATGATGCTCGCTCGTGCGGCTCGCTAAAGCCATTCAATCACTGGCATCGAACTGCTGTGCGTGGTTTGGGTTCGCCGCCCGGCATATGGCAGGGAGAGTTTGAAGGGAAGTCCAGCTGATGCTGATGATGCTCGCTCGTGCGGCTCGCTAAAGCCATTCAATCACTGGCATCGAACTGCTGTGCGTGGTTTGGGTTCGCCGCCCGGCATATGGCAGGGAGAGTTTGAAGGGAAGTCCAGCTGATGCTGATGATGCTCGCCCCTACGGCTCGCCAAGAACATTCAATCACTGGCATCGAACTGCTGTGCGTGGTTTGGGTTCGCCGCCCGGCATATGGCAGGGAGAGTTTGAAGGGAAGTCCAGCTGATGCTGATGATGCTCGCTCGTGCGGCTCGCTAAAGCCATTCAATCACTGGCATCGAACTGCTGTGCGTGGTTTGGGTTCGCCGCCCGGCATATGGCAGGGAGAGTTTGAAGGGAAGTCCAGCTGATGCTGATGATGCTCGCTCGTGCGGCTCGCTCAAGCCATTCAATCACTGGCATCGAACTGCTGTGCGTGGTTTGGGTTCGCCGCCCGGCATATGGCAGGAAGAGTTTGAAGGGAAGTCCAGCTGATGCTGATGATGCTCGCCCCTACTGCTCGCCAAGAACATTCAATCACTGGCATCGAACTGCTGTGCGTGGTTTGGGTTCGCCGCCCGGCATATGGCAGGGAGAGTTTGAAGGGAAGTCCAGCTGATGCTGATGATGCTCGCTCGTGCGGCTCGCTAAAGCCATTCAATCACTGGCATCGAACTGCTGTGCGTGGTTTGGGTTCGCCGGCCGGCATATTATGGCAGGGAGAGTTTGAAGGGAAGTCCAGCTGATGCTGATGATGCTCGCTCGTGCGGCTCGCTAAAGCCATTCAATCACTGGCATCGAACTGCTGTGCGTGGTTTGGGTTCGCCGCCCGGCATATGGCAGGGAGAGTTTGAAGGGAAGTCCAGCTGATGCTGATGATGCTCGCTCGTGCGGCTCGCTAAAGCCATTCAATCACTGGCATCGAACTGCTGTGCGTGGTTTGGGTTCGCCGCCCGGCATATGGCAGGGAGAGTTTGAAGGGAAGTCCAGCTGATGCTGATGATGCTCGCTCGTGCGGCTCGCTAAACATTCAATCACTGGCATCGAACTGCTGTGCGTGGTTTGGGTTCGCCGCCCGGCATATGGCAGGGAGAGTTTGAAGGGAAGTCCAGCTGATGCTGATGATGCTCGCTCGTGCGGCTCGCTAAAGCCATTCAATCACTGGCATCGAACTGCTGTGCGTGGTTTGGGTTCGCCGCCCGGCATATGGCAGGGAGAGTTTGAAGGGAAGTCCAGCTGATGCTGATGATGCTCGCTCGTGCGGCTCGCTAAAGCCATTCAATCACTGGCATCGAACTGCTGTGCGTGGTTTGGGTTCGCCGCCCGGCATATGGCAGGGAGAGTTTGAAGGGAAGTCCAGCTGATGCTGATGATGCTCGCCCCTACGGCTCGCCAAGAACATTCAATCACTGGCATCGAACTGCTGTGCGTGGTTTGGGTTCGCCGCCCGGCATATGGCAGGGAGAGTTTGAAGGGAAGTCCAGCTGATGCTGATGATGCTCGCTCGTGCGGCTCGCTAACACTGGCATCGAACTGCTGTGCGTGGTTTGGGTTCGCCGCCCAGCATATGGCAGGGAGAGTTTGAAGGGAAGTCCAGCTGATGCTGATGATGCTCGCCCCTACGGCTCGCCAAGAACATTCAATCACTGGGGTCGAACTGGTAGGCGTGTTCTAGGCTCACCGGTCGGCACATGGATAGAGAGCGAGAGAGAGAAGGGAAGTCGGCTGATGCTGATGATGCTCGCCCGTGCGGCTCGCTAAACCCATTCTTCGAGGGGATGTCCAGCTGCTGCTGGTGACGCTGGCGCGTGCGGCTCGCTAAAACCATTCAATCACTTTAGAGTCGAACTGTCCGGCAAATGGAGGGAGAGAGAGAGAGAGAGAGAGTTTGAAGGGAAGTCCAGCTGATGCTGATGATGGGCCCGTGCGGCTCGCTGAAAACATTCAATCACTGAGGTGGAACTGCTACGCGTGCTCTGGGTTCACCGGCGCCGGCAGATGGGAGAAAGAGTTTGAAGGGAAGTCCAGCTGATGCTGATGATGCTCGCTCGTGCGGCTCGCTAAAGCCATTCACTAAAGCCACTCAATCACTGCAACGAACTGCTGTGCGTGGTTTGGGTTCGCCGCCCGGCATATGGGAGGGAGAGTTTGAAGGGAAGTCCAGCTGATGCTGATGATGCTCGCCCCTACGGCTCGCCAAGAACATTCAATCACTGGGGTCGAACTGCTAGGCGTGTTCTAGGCTCACCGGTCGGCACATGGATAGAGAGCGAGAGAGAGAAGGGAAGTCGGCTGATGCTGATGATGGTCGCCCGTGCGGCTCGCTAAACCCATTCTTCGAGGGGATGTCCAGCTGCTGCTGGTGATGCTGGCGCGTGCGGCTCGCTAAAACCATTCAATCACTTTAGAGTCGAACTGTTCACAGGCCGGCAAATGCAGGGAGAGAGAGAGAGAGAGAAAGAGAGAGAGAGAGGAGTTTGAAGGGAAGTCCAGCTGATGCTGATGATGGGCCCGTACGGCTCGTTGAAAACATTCAATCACTGAGGTGGAACTGCTATGCGTGCTCTGGGTTCACCGGCGCCGGCAAATGGGAGAAAGAGTTTGAAGGCAAGTCCAGCTGATGCTGATGATGCTCGCTCGTGCGGCTCGCCAAAGCCATTCAATCACTGCAACGAACTGCTGTGCGTGGTTTGGGTTCGCCGCCCGGCAAAGGGAAGTCCAGCTGATGCTGATGATTCTCGCCCGTATGGCTCGTTGAAACCATTCAATCAGTGAGGTGGATTTACAACGCGCGCTCTGAATTCACCGGTCGGCAGATGGGAGAAAGAGTTTGAAGGGAAGTCCAGCTGACGCTGATGATGCTCGCCCACGTGGCTACGCTGGGGTCGAACAGCTATGCGTGCTGTGGGGTCGGCGGCCGGCAGATGGGAGCGAGACTTTGAAGGGAAGTCCAGCTTATGCTAATGATGTTCGCCCACGCGGCTAGCCAAAACCATGCAATCACTGGGGTCGAAACTTCTATGCCTGCTTCGAAATCCAGCTGATGCTGCTGATGCTCGCCCGTGCGGCTGGCTATCCACTGGGGTCGAACTGCTAGGTGTGCTTTGGGTTCACCGGCCGGAAGATGGGAGAGAGAGAGAGAGAGAGTGTTTGTGGGGAAGTCCAGCTGATGCCGATGATGCCCGCGGCTCGCTAAAACCATTCAATTGCTGGTCGAATGCGAAAACGGCTCCAATCTGCGATGGCGTACGTGGGAGTTGTCCCAAAGGAAATCCAGCTCGTAGGTTTTTTGGGTTGCACCATTTCAATCATTGGTTCGCCTTACGATTTCTACACATGATTGCTTGCAGGAAGCGGTCATCGGCGGAGTGCTTCCATTCATCATCAGGCTGCCCGCGCTCTTTAGCCAACGCCTGTGACGCGGCCGGAGGCACTTCTGCCACGAGACGAACGACGCAGGACTCTGACTGCAACGAGCTAGCCTCGCTCGCCCTGTTCCCGGCCCTAGTGGCCGTCGCGCTCGCGCTCGCTCTCCACTCACATCTCTCTCTCTATCTCTCTATCTCTCCATCTCTCCATCTCTCCATCTCTCTATCTCTCTATCTCTCTATCTCTCTATCTCTCTATCTCTCTATCTCTCTATCTCTCTATCTCTCTATCTCTCTATCTCTCTCTCTCTCTCTCTCCATCTCTCCAACGGACAAAGTGATGCGGACCATCTTCCGGCAAGCCCTACAAGCATATGAATTCCCGGCTATTTATTTGGAGGTCCCCACCCTAACATAAATAGCCGCCCCGGCTATTCTAAATAGCCCCCGATTCAACTAACCCCCCCCCCATCCGGCTATTGCTAGGGGGTCCCCATGCTAGCAAGCCCAACGCCGCATTTGGTCCTCAGTGAGCTTGTCGTGAAGCTGCGGCTGCAGGTTGGTATACGGACCAAGCATGCACGGACATGGCGTTGCTACAGCCACCTGGCTGGATGTTCAACCCACGAACAAGCGTCTAAGCTCGCTCTGCGACACCTGCCTCAGAATGATCGGGCATATTCCACCATCTCTTTCCTGCAAGGCGCTGCGAGGCCCATGTGGCCCATGTAGACTTGTCTATGTGCACATCACAAGGCATAGTCTGCAGGCAAAACACTGACCCAACAACAGCTGGAATGCTGCATGTGGGCGACATGTTGCGGATTCTCGACTCATTCACGTGCAGGGCGACGGGCCTGGCTTCATGTCCCCCAGCGGGCCATTCGACTTCATGAAGCCCTGATATGACAACACGGCTGCTATGGCTGCGCCCAGAGCTTTAGCAACTAAATTTTGCCTTCGCGCAGCCATAGTCTGCCGAGTAAGGCTCGCTTGCAGGGTGATACCTGCAGGTCATGGCCGCCGAGGCCAGAGGTCGCAACGCAGCTTCGGATGAGTAACGGGTCGAAAACTGCAGATGCAGGCATGCTGCAGGCCGCCGATTCCTGCAGCAGTTGCGAGTCTGCCGGCAATGTCAACACCTCGGAGGTGAAGCACAAAGCTGCAAGCGCCTCATGCCAGTTCATCTGTCCAGAGTCTAGTTTCTGCGTATCCACTACTGTATAACCACAGGCTGTCAACAGTTTCCCGACAGAGGCACCCATCGCGTTGAAGGACAACGGTGTTTTGTCGTCGTGGCTGTTTGATGTGAAGGAAGAGTCGGACCTCATTCGAGCTCTAGAGTGCTCTGCTTTGACCAGGTGCCGCGCCCTGCCGCATCGTTGCATGGCATTGAGTCCCTGGCTTGGAAGCATCATGCGGCGAAGAGGCCTGCCTTGCGCAGGAGCTAAGTACCACAGAGAACAGTTGACTTGGGAAAGACTGGTGGCAGTCTTACGTGACTGCCGGCGTCAGGCTAAGTCGCGGACTGTGGGGTCACTTGGCTGTCCGCTCCACTCCTTGTACTCTCAGTTTCACACCATATCGAACAATCACGCGAAACCAGCTGTCTTTGCAAATATCGCTGGCATGAGAATCCCACGGAGACCCTGAGCCATCGTGGAAGAGCGGGGGCAAGGAGGTGTGCACATCCTGGACTTGCTTTGGAAAAGAGAAGCGCAAGACATTTCTAAAATCCAGTTTCGGAGCGAAGTCCTCAACTTCAGGCTTGGGCCATTTTGCCCACAAGCCACTTGGCCTTCTCAGAGTCACTATGCCACTGTGCAGTACATGGACATCAGATCAGGTTCCGTCAGCAGACGCTGCTATCTGAGATTCCGGGCTGCAGGGATCCCGAGCTGTCACGCCATGCCTGAGGCGGGCGCACGCCTCATGCCCATCCGTCCATCTCCCAAGCATCCCAACATCAGAGGGCCTTGTTGAAATAGCCGCCCGGACAGGGACAAGGCCTGAGCATCTGAAAAACAGAAAGCTGAAGCCAGATGGCTCCTGCAACAAGGCACCAGGCAGAACAAGCAGCTTCGGTCGTATCTCCAGGCTAGCGCCGTAGCCTGGACGCGGCAGCTGTCTGATGTCTCGACTCAGTCTGCCAGGCCCCACAGATAATAAGGCTCCCGCGCAGACCGGGCAGCTCGTCGCCCATCAACTTGGGTGGGCCGCCTGCACATGACCAGTCGTCGTGCCTTGGACACACCGTTGAATGAGGCAAGGAACTCAGAAGCACGGCACTGGGCTTCCTTTGAGAGCTAAGGCCAAGGTCGGCTTCAGGGCTGCTGCCGCTAAGAAGCATCGTGTGCTTGGCGACTTCCTCGAGGAGCTCCTAAGAACGCAGTGTGCTTTCTCTTTCTTTTCGCTCTTTGGGTGATCTTGGGGTGTGGAAGAAGACATGCGATGACATGGGGGCTTGGGCGACTTGAAAGCAGACACCTTCCCTACAGGCACGGCCTGATGCTCACCTTGACCCTTATTCTCACGCCAGGGCTGAGGCACACCCCCAAGGGCTGTTGATACAACTGCCCTGCCAGTCCCCACCAGAGCCTACTGCTGGAACGGCTCGTGGCACTACTTGCTATCCGAGGTGCTTCTTTGTTGACGCCTGGTGGAAGGGCAGGCCTCAGCAGCCATGAGTCAGTTCTGCAAGATCCAACCAAGTTGGAGTCTGCTGCAGATGCATCCGTCCAAGTCGCATGTCCTTCATCTGCTCCAACATGACATTCCTGGTGGCCATCAACTCTGTGCCTGTCGCTGTCACGGGAATCATGTCGTCATGCTTTTACACGACATTCCCCTCGGCTAACATCACCAAGATGCCTGTAGGACCCTTTAAGTCTTTTTTCGAGCAGAGAGCCCTCATAATCCTGCAATTACGAGTGTGCCTGGGGAGTAATGTTGCTAGTCATCCCGACGCCCTAAACCCTAAACCCTGAACACTAATACTAACGCCTCTACAATGGGAGTTTGGCTCCCATATTAGACCTTTCTGCCCAACTGGGCCCTTTCCAGCACCAACTCAGAAAGCCAGCCTGTCGACATTCCCTAACATCTGAAATCATCCGATGTGCTACGGTGCATAGAAGCTGCCTGGCCTGCTTGCAACATGGTTCACGACCAGAAGAGCAGCGTTGGCCGAAGAGACGTTGCACGACGACGGGCTTCCCATGAAGCACAGCTAAACTTCTAAACAAAGTCGGATTTGTTCTAGGATCTGATGCAGCTGCGACTTTGAGTATCTCGGGGAGTGGCTTCAAGCCGAGCTCACGAACAAACGACTCCCTGGCTTCATGTTCAAACTTCTCTAATATCCCTCAGCAGGTGTTTCATGATTGCACGATTACGCCGCCATGCTGAAACGTTGCAGATGGGCAGTCGCTAGATTTTTAAATAGATTCTAGATTTTGGGACTCTGGATGCCTTACGTAGGTCCTGTCAGCCTGGATTTCTAGTACTTCCATGGCCGCGGCACTGGTGGGTTGAGCTGGCACCGCAGGCCCGCGTGAGCAAAGGATCACGACTAGGCAAGATCGGGCATCCCGCGCAGGAGCAGCTCGCAGTGCTCTTGCAAGCCGTTCACAGGAAGCATGGTGACCTTCGTGGCGATCATTGGCTATCGGTGGCAATCTGATGTTCCGACTGTTTCATATTCGGGTGCGAGCACGAGCTCGATGCGACTCTGAGAAGATGGCGCCTGTATCGTGTGGCAAAGGCTTCCCACCTTAGCCGCGACGGCGATGTGAATCGTGGCGACGCAGCAACAGGCAGCTGGGTGCTCGGCCATGAAGAACGTTGAGAGCCAGCGGCTTCCCAATTCTTAGTGCCACGGGCGCCAATGTCACTGCCAGTGCAGGCGCAATACAACTGCAAACAACTGAGGTGGCTGCCCGGATCGGTCTAGAAACCAAAACGGGCACGTGATGCGAATCTGCAGAGCCAAGGAGGTGTGGCGACAAGCAGGATCCAATGTGGGCAAGTCGACCGTCCAAGTAAGCAGGAAGGGAAGGAACCGAACCGCGAACCGTGGAACCGGAACCTTCAGAACCGGAACCTGTGAACCAAGTAAAACCGGAACCGTCGAACCGAACCGAAATAGAAACCGAACCGAAAAAGGTTCCAATTCCCCGAGGTTAGGGTCAGGGTTCGCTTCGCGTCTCTGCTCTTCATTGCTTTTCGCTGCGTTCTCTGCTCTTCTCTTCGCGCTTCTCTTCCTTGCTGGTCCTTGCTTTTCTCTGTTGTTCTTTGTTGTTGTCTCGTCTTCCGTCCTCTTCTCTTTCCTCATCCTCTGATGTCCCAAAATCGCCCTCACACAATGTGTTAAGAATCTTCGCTTCTGTTGGCCTTAGGGGGGCCCCAAACCCCCCAAAATCGCCCTAACACAATGTGTTAGGAATTTTCGGTTCTGTTCCGCAAAACCGCCCTAACACAATGTGTTAGGAATTTTCGGTTCTGTTCCCCAAAATCGCCCTGACACAATATGTTAGGAATTCTCGGTTCTGTTGGCCTTAGGAAGGCTCTTCTAAAGGCCTTGCAGGGGCCCCAAACCCCCCAAAATCGCCCTAACACAATGTGTTAGGAATTTTCGGTTCTGTTCCGCAAAACCGCCCCAACACAATGTGTTAGGAATTTTCGGTTCTGTTCCCCAAAATCGCCCTGACACAATATGTTAGGAATTTTCGGTTCTGTTGGCCTTAGGAAGGCTCTTCTAAAGGCCTTGCAGGGGCCCCAAACCCCCCAAAATCGCCCTAACACAATGTGTTAGGAATTTTCGGTTCTGTTCCGCAAAACCGCCCTAACACAATGTGTTAGGAATTTTCGGTTCTGTTCCCCAAAATCGCCCTGACACAATATGTTAGGAATTTTCGGTTCTGTTGGCCTTAGGAAGGCTCTTCTAAAGGCCTTGCAGGGGCCCCAAACCCCCCAAAATCGCCCTGACACAATATGTTAGGAATTGTCGGTTCTGTTGGCCTTTAGAAGAGCCCTCCCAAGGTCCTGATGGCTATTTCCGGAACCGCGAACCGCGAACCGAACCGTCCAGAACCTTCGCTCAAAACCGAAAAACCGTAACCGAACCGTCCGTTTCCTGAAGTAAGACTATAATTATAACCTGCTTCTCTATAGTGTGCAAAGCAAACCACACACACACACACACGCACACACACTTCAGACTCGCCTCTGCTTGGCCGCACCTTGGCGTGGAGCATCACTTGCACTGAGTTAAGGTTCAACCCGTCGAAGCTCGTGAGGCTCCGACACCTCGACTAAAACCCCAGCAGCGGCTCCGGCGTCGCCTCGCTGTTCTTCGTGAGACGCTCAGGCAGCTCGTGGGCCGTTCGATGCCGAGATTTTTCTTCAAATACATACAGCCTACTAACTGTAACATACTGTAGTTGTAGCTAATGCTGATGATTTTTGGCTAATGGCCTCCTCGCTCTTGCAGATCATCATACATGGCATCATGCCCCTAGGATGAGTGGCACAAGAGGACTGTCAAGGGCGTGAATAGCAGGTATTACGGCATTACTGGCGAAGCCGGCCCACCTGCATGTTGCTGAATTTGGGCAGCTTTGCCACAGCCCATCGGCGACGAGTCCGTTTCCTTTCAAGACGACACTCTCGACTCTGTGCGCGACCATCGCAATTTGCCGTGCCTGCTTGAAGCAGCTGGCCTGGCGAACATGTGGTGGCACAACATATTCGTCCGTCTTTCGTAGTTCTTGCAGTCCTCGAGATGAACCACCTCAGACCAGGGCGCCATGGCGCCAAGCCTTGCAGGGCTGTGGACGTTGTCTCGCACGGTCTCCGGCCAAACACACGAAGCGCACGCTCAGATGCAAGCCGCAAGCAAAGTCTCAAGCCAACCTCCTCAAGGGCACGCTTCTCTCTGCATTGCTTGGTCGTTTCTGGTGCATGCGGCAGGCACTGCAGCCGGTCATCCTCCACCAAGCTTTGCAAGTTGTATACGCCGCGCCTGGCAAGCACATCAAAAGCTGATACAAAGCTCACCGAAAGCTCCACAGACCCTCCGGCCTTGAGAGCTTCTCCAAAGAGACTTGCTGCCACTGGACGTTAGCCTAGGTCATGCAGTGCCGTGCAACAAGCTGCTGGAGCAATTTCCGAGACGAGTCGAGGCACCGATTGAGGCTCAGTGGCAAAAACATGTCCCGAAGATTCTGGCTCAGCTAGGTGATCCAGGTTCATATGGACGCCTGAATCTTGCACCCAAGGACTCCTTGCAAGGCACTGGATGTGAAGAAAGAAAGAACACCAAATTCATTCCAGATTTGTTCTCGAAGCCCATGTTTCGGCATGATGCTGCAAGACTCAGGGAACGGCGTCCACAGGACCCGTAGCATATCTGATGCTCAGGTCTCCTGGAGCTCATGCTGCGATCACAAGAGCTTTCTGTGCGACGATCGTCGGCCTAGTGGGAGCGCGTTCATGAACACCTTAGTCTTGACCAAGGTCTGACTTGCTCTCAACAGCCATATCGACCCGCTGCATTGAGCCGGCCACCAACGCAGGTCTCAAGCACACGGTGGTAGCAAGCGAGTCCTAGGAAAAGTGCCGCGCTTCACTGGGAGTGTAGCCGAAGCTCATCTGTTCAGCGGAAGTCTTAGTTACTTATTGAGTTACCTGTTGGCAGCTTCGCGATATTCGACAGAGTATGCAAGTCCAAGGAATGGGCCTGTCGCGCTTGCGGCCTGGATTCGTTGAGACTGGACAAAAGGACTTCTGAAGGTTCTTCGGAGGCACTGGTAGTGATAGTGGTGACACCGGGGTAGCTGTTCCAGGCAGCTGGCTCCACAACGAAAGCCGTCTCCTGCTGGCCTGCAGTGCCTGCAATCTCTGCTTCAAGCTGCGAGGAACTGCGACGAATGTGAGAAGCATGCCAGAAAACGAATTTGGTGCCTAAAGCACGGCAAATCTGCGGGCCTTGCACAGCCGGAAAGGAGAAACAAGCTTCAGCCGAGATAGCAGCCAGGGACCGTGCCCAGACCGCTGCCCACCTGCATCTTTGCCTCAAGCTCACAGCGATCACACAGCATTGGCACATCCGAGGGTCCGGCAGAAGCATCGTCAAAGAGAGGCTGGACCTTGGAACATCGGGCTTTCGAGAACTAACCAAGGCAAGGGTGCTTATGTGAGCAATAAAGGGCTCTCAAAGGGTCAACCGCCCCCACCCCTCGCAACAGGCACTTTTGAGGTTGCGATGCTTCGTGTTCTACTGCAGTACAGAGGGCCTGTTAGGTTGTCTGTCAGGCGCCGATTGAAAGCTGCAAGGTTGCTTTCACGGAACTCTGAAGTTCAGCTCTCAGTGGACGTAGCTGGCTAGAAAGCCTTGTCGTACCTCTCGGAAGCATACTGCATGCTGCCCTGAGCCTGTTCCCTTGTCGTCGCTTCGATGACGGCTATGCAGGTACTGTAATGACAGCACCCATCGTGCTCGAGCAAACGCTGTGCTGACTCCTCGCTTTTGCTCTTCATTGTCTGATTCGTTGCGGCCTTCTGACTTTAGAGGCGCGGCAGGTTCTCTCTCATCAGAAACTCCCCTCACGAATGCTGCACGCGCCCTTTCTTGGCACAAGGTTCTCTCATGACGCTTTGCTGAAAGCCTCGAACTGAATCCCGATTCTGAGTCTCATGGATCGCTGAATGGCATGCAGAAGCATCCCTGCAGTGTTGAATTAACTATGCTTGATTCCTGGGCCAGGCACTGTCAACCATGCGCGAAGGGTTCGGCTGCCTCTGAGCTGGACATGCTCTGCCACAAACATCAGCACAGATCCAGCGCGCCTTCTTCAGCGAGCCTCCGTCTGGCAAGGACTTCCCAAGGGACCTCAAATGAGGCACCCAGCGCCCGCAGAAACAACAACGTCAGCACGGGCTGCTGCTGCTGCTACCAAACCGGAGAATGTCTCCGTTTTTCTTGGCGGCTCGAAACTAAGCCCCAAACAGCCCCGAGGCTGTTGGGTGGAAGCACCTCGCCGAACAACTCTTCACAAAACCAGGCTGTGCGATGCGAGCCCTGAGCAGCAGACCAGCACTCCCTCGATTTTGCCGCCCTCTCGAGCTTCACCTCGAAGCTTGCAGTGACAGCAAAGCTGGCACAGGCACAGAGCATCCGTCGCCGTTCCATCTCAGCCGAAGAAAGGATCCTGCTGTTGTTTTCGGGAACCGCGGGCCGCTCCTCTCGGTTGAATCACGAAGTAGGAAGAAGCTTCCCCTGTAGCTTGCGATGCAGCTGGACAAATCAACGCCGAAAGCATCCTCCTGCGCAATGCATCCGAGGATCGCGGCCTGCCCATAGTTCCGATTCCAGGATGCGAGGTTGGAAGGGCTGAAATGCCAGGTGCTTGGCATCGCAGCAGGCAGTTTGAGGAATCTCCAGCATCGGAACCTGAGAATGCGGGGCTTCGCTTCTTGGGGCTCGCCGACTCGCCGTGCCCAGGCCGTGGCCTCATGCTGGACCGGGTCAAGGAAACGCAAGGCCACGGTGAAGCCCGTCCTGAAAGGCAGCTCTCTTGAAATCTCTCAGCCGCTGCGAGATATGACAGTTGACGACAACAAGCTCCTGTTGTGCACACGAAGAAGGGGGGCCTGAGTTGAGTGTCATTGCTCTGGGCTTGATTCGTCAGAGCTTGAGGACACGGCGAGGAGCAGCAGCCTCCGTGATGACTCGATTTGCATCTCCTTATTGAGTCGATTTCAACACACAGCTCCGACTGTGCAGGCCGCAGCCAAGCCACGGCAACCGCATCAGCAGCTTCACCATTGGGAATCAAAACGTCGCCTTGGAAAGGGTGCGCATCTCCAACTATCTTCAAGCTGGTAGGTTGAGATCTGACACGGGGATGGTTGTTTTGCAAGCCTCTTGCAGATCAAGTTGGGCAGCACATCCTGGATGCAGGAGGGTGTGCTACAAGGAAGGCTGAAAGCAACTAGCTGGCTTCTGCCAGCAGTTGCAGTGCGCGTGACCATGTGGAAGCATGGCAATGTAGGACTTCCGTGTTCACTGCTTAATTAAGACGGGCGGTCCCGCGCGGCTGGGCTTGCAATAATCCAGGAAGTCAGCTGGAAGATTCAGCACACATCCCGAGTTACAGGACATGTCACGGGCAGTTTGCCCGTGCACACTGGCTCGCGCCCGCAGCACTGAGTTTTCAGGCCTGCTGGAGGGCGAGGGCGGTGGCCTTTCTAGCATTGGCCTTGTGGTGTAGCGTCTATCACTTTACTTCGGTTTCACACATCATCTCAGTCCCTTCTGACAGCATGAAGGGAGTGCGGGCACGGCAGCACAATAACATCTACCAGTTTTGGAGATGTCTGTCTGTCCGATCTGGCTCTGAGAAAAAGATGGATTCACCAAATGGCACCGCACATTGATGAGCGATATGCCCTGCAGTGTCCGTCGTAGCGGCTGGGTAGTGTACCACTGTTGTAGCTGTGCTGTGTGGCTGTGTGCGATGCCATATCTGCTTCAGGAGCTCTGTCACCTATTTGAGCTCCCAGTCTGCTCCCACCAGTCGCCAGCCTGCGAAAGCACCGGAACAAGCGCCCCTTCCTGTACAGTCTTCAGCCCTGCCTGCCACACTTTCAGCTAGTCCTGGCCCGAAGACAGAAAAGTTCTGTGCAGCGTCACGGCCCTTCGTACACTCCAGCAGGAAAGAACCGCTGCACCTGCCATTGTCTTTGAAGAGTAGGTCGTAATTGGAGGAAGGAAACCTTTCAAGGTCACCCGGAACTGCACGAAAGTCACCATTCGAGTGCGAGGCATCTGAATCATGGCAAGAATAGCTTTGCTGGCCTTGGCTGGAGACATCGTTCGAGCGGAGGTCGTGGTCTTCCGGTTCCTTCAAAGGCCACATGGTGGCCGTTCTGAGGTTGTCGACCCACACCTGCAGACCGCTAAGACCCGGCCTCGCATGACTTTTCTGTGCCAAGGCCTGCAGTGCCTGACATCGGTTGAGGGCGGATTTCAGGTTCGAAAGCTGCCTCTGCCTTCGATCAAGACCCGCTCTCCGTTTGCCCCCGGCAGCGTCACTCGGGAGCTGACGATTGCATACCCTTTTGCCACTGTCACACCCCCAGCACGTTGGCCCGAACTAAGTGTCCATGAGAGCATCCTGCTCATGGCCGCGGTACCTCTAGCTACATCGCTGCATCAGCGCGATGTTGTCGCAAAATGAAATAACTTGCACACTACTCGCATTCTTACGCAGTGGTGGAGCAAAAGGCACAGGTGTTTGAGGTTGTCCAAGCAGTTCGGTATCTGTATGTAGTTATTTTTGTTCATATTATTATTGCTATTACTATTATTACTATTTTAGTGAGCGTATATCTGTAGCAGGCCTCTCCGAGCCACTGGCGTTGAAAACCACAGCAACTTTTTGGCAGGGTGACACCAAACACATATTTCTTGTGAAGCTGCCGACTCTAGCTACAGGGGAAAATCTTGCACTGCAGCGGTCCAGACGCACAGCCCTCGAACACCGTCGCATCAGTGTCGAACCTCTTTCAATTTGTCTTCAAAACCGCTGGACCGTGCTAGTGCCGGAATTGGTTCTCGCCTTCATTGAATCTAATCTATCTTCGAGATCAGCATCTGAAGATGGGATCTAGTTCCTGCCGAGCAGTGAATCTAAACCACGAAGCAGGGCATTGAGAAATATCTTCCAGCCTGAAGACAATGACGAAACACTTAAACTCTACGATTTTTTCCGCAAGGGACGCGTTTGTGTTTGCGCGCTGCGGCGCACCACTCGGACAGCCACAAAACGTCTCCACGGGGTTAACGGCATGATGCTTAGACTGGGCCTGATTCGGCCTCAAGGGAACAAGACTACTTATGTCACCAAAGGACTACAGAACAAAACTGGACTACAGACAAAACTTGAAGCAGCAGTACATGAAGCAGCAGTACATATCTCCGTTTGCCACAACTCAGTCGGTCGCAGCCATTTTGTATGCTTTCGCTGATCGGGTATATTCTTGGAAGCCCAGAGCGTGTGCTTCTCCTAGTCATTAGCAAATCGCTCTGGGGCGGATCCGCCTCCCCCAGCCCCCACCCTGTCTAATTCTGTTTTGGGGGAACATGTCCAAGGGGGGGCAACTGTGCAGCCATCGCACGAGACTACGTGGAGCCAAACGTCCGTTCCGAAATCATTCGAAATCTACGGCCATCAAGTTGCCAACTCTGCAAGCCGCAGAATATCCTTCTATGGACTCTAGACTGGCTGGTGGCATGCCCGAGTCCTCGATTTCACCATGTGCTCACAGGTGTAGGTCCTTCTTGTCCGCTGCTTCGTCTGCAGCTCGGGGCAGCGCCTGAATTACTTGCTGCGCAGGATGGCTACAGCTTGGAAGATTGAAAACCTCCAAGAGCCTCTGGCGACTTCTCGTATCTTCAGCCACTGGTTCATATCGACTGGATTTGAGTAGAAATGAAAGGGCATCTGGGGGATGGGGATGGCTGGGGGAGATGCAACTTCTGAACTCTCAGTATGGTCAGGGTGCAAAGGAAATATGATCATCCCTGGCCTGCTCGAGATCATTGAGGTCGTGCTTTGACCCCTGATACAGCCGCACGGAGGCGGGAATCGTCGGGAAGTTCTGACAGACAGGAAGCTGGATATGTACTGCCACACGCGCGCGTGTGTTTTTGTGCTTATGTTTGCGCTGTGATGTTCGAGGCTGCAGTCCTCCTGGAATTCGCTGCGCTCCCTCTTCAAGAATCGCATCTCCTGCGCTGCATGAGACGGAACTCACGATTCGACCTCCAACAAAACTTCATCCGTCTCTGGAGCTCTCCTTCTGTGTCACTCTGTGGGCTTAGGGGTGGCTCAATCTTCGTTCGGTCCGTGAGCTAAGCAGGGCCGAAACTAGCGGTGACTAGCGCATGCCCTCTAAGCGACGGAGAGAAAGCTGTGAACTCGGAAGTGACATGGCAAGTTCGAAACAAGCTTACAAAGAAGTCACTCTCCGATTGTCTGTCGAGCCACATCCAGGATCTGAAAGTAGATCTCCGTCAAGATCGCGTACACAAACACGAGCAAGATAAAATAGATGATAGGAATGCTCCACAGCGTTGTGTGGGTTTTCATCCACTCCGAGATGAAGAAAGTGGTAGTACTATTGCAGACATCCATCCAGCCCCAGCCGACCGTCAGCGACATGGCCTGCATGTGGTGCAGAGTAATTACACTGTCACACGCTGCCAAAGTCTCACAAAACAAGGAACGTGGGCAACGAACCTACCTGCACAAGTAGTGAAAGGATGGCTCTTGCTTGAATGCTTGGGGCCCCTCTCCTCCGCGTTTCGTCAATCAGTTTGTTGCTGATACTTCGAGCCTGTGCTGCTGCCGCTGCACATATCGTGCCGCTTTTTGTTCTGCTTGTTGTGGCAGTGCCGGCATGGGGCTGAGATCAAATCGAGGTCGTCTCCCGCGAAGGAATGATGGTCAGGCCGAGTGTGTTCGGGAACCCTTCGTAAGCAGAGGGCTTCAAGCTGACAAGCACCGTAAGCAGAAAGGAAGGCAATGTGGCGCCGCGCGTTGAACCGATGCATGCACCACAAGGGTGGCATGGCCAAGCTCTATTTCAAAGGGCTGGCCACAAGTGACATGAGCTGTTCCGATTTTAGCCACGGTAGATGGTCTCGGAGATGGTTCAACATGGCTTCGGCTTGCACCCGTGTCAAAGCTGTGTCTAACGGAAGTCTTGCGGGGCCAGGGGCTTTACGACAAAAAGGCTCCAGCACTGAGGAGAGATAACTGGCCCAGAAAGTGCACTCCGAGGAGCTGTAATCATGAGCGTGCGGTACGACTTGCTGTGTGTACTTCGGTATTCTTGCATACCTGAAGCTGCATATCAGCACGACCAACACGTTAGACCGCGGCGACTTCGTCCGCTCACATGGAAAATACCTCGCCCAAGCAGCTCAGCTGTTTCATATAGCTTCCTTGGCAGATGGTAGGAAGCACTGCCGCTGCAGATCAATCTGACGGAACGTGGAACGTGTAGGAGTTTGACTGTGAGCCCTAGGCCCGGGCTTGAAATCCCGCCCAGTGCATCCGGAGACTCCAAGGATAATCGAAGACAGCATGGCATAATACCACACCTGTGGATACTGCGGCGATTGCGGGCACCTCACTTTGCCGGCACCTTCTCAAGCTCATCCACCACTGGTAATGCGGCCAAGCGTGCGATGACCACGAAATCGTTGTGCAGCCTTTCAGCTTTGCATGTACATGCAGCATGTCAAGCTATTCCGTACCACATGCTCGAGCATGAAGTGCTGCACCCGACATATCTGCGTCCGGCACAGAAGCGACACCATCCCTAGCACCAGAGCTGTTACGTTGCAGAATCCAAGGAGCCGTTGAAGAATGGAAAATACATGACCCTGGCAGGGTTCAAGTCGTTCCGGTCTGTGTGTTTGGAAGTGGGACTCATTGAATTGTCGACGCCCTGAAGCACTGCAGGCATTACATCCGAAATGTTGAACGTCCGGCAACCTGTAGCCAACTGCTCTCAGCAACAGACTTTTGAGGCAATCGTTGGAACAATAACGCGAAACGAATTGATCAGTCCCGCCTCAGTGTGTCACTGAAACCCCAGCCGTAAACGAAGGCAGTCGCATGTGTAACGGTATCGCCGATGTCATTGGCAACTTCCTTACGCAAGTTGCATTAGCTCACCGAGAAGGAGCTTGCTACCTGCTAGAACCATAATGTCCAGCTGCAATTTCGAAGGCAGTCACGTAGTCGTCGTCTTCTTCTGCATCCCTGAGAGAGCGGGCACGCCGGCACACAGGCATGATGTCGCATTCAAGTGGGCATCTCTTCTGCACCCTTGGCCAACTCACGGACACCAGCACATGGCCCTCAACAACCTCGACATCTCTGGAACCGGAAGCAACCTAGCTAGTGAAGTCACGAAAATGACGGCAAAGCATCGAATCCAGCAGGTAGAGTTGCCACGGAGGTAGGCGTGCATATCGGACGGAAACGATACAAGTTTCAATGGTGTCTCTGAGTTGTGCCGTGCTGCATCAAAGCCTACACTCTCCAATCACAGTAAACTAATTACTTCGTTCTCTCATGTTCTCTCTCATATCTGGATGTGCACAAAACTACATGGTTAGATTTAGCGTGAAGAACCTTCTGCATGCGACATATGTGGGATTCAGCTCCACGCAAAAGAAATACTTTACGTACGATAAGCACATGTGAGCGTCTAAATAACAAAGGATTCAAGAAACAAGCCAAATCACGAAAGGTGGCATAAGTGAGTGAGCAAATGAGCCAATCAATGGGATCAAAGAATGGACGAATCAATCAATGAACGGCCAAATGAATTAATGAATCAGTGAATAAACGAATAAAGGAATGAACCGAATGAATGAATGAATGGACAGATGAAGTGGTGGATAGATGACTGAAAGAGAAACAGAGGGAGAAGGAGAAGAAGAATGAATGAATGAATGAATGAATGAACGAATGAACGAATGAACGAATGAACGAACGAACGAATGAACGAATGAACGACCGAATGAATGAATGAATGAATGAATGAATGAATGAATGATTTGATCGAATGCACGGAATCTGTGATTGAATTAACGAACGAATGAACGAAACACTATCAAACGAAGGCATGGATAATGCTGACATAAAGAGTACATGCATACATGTCAGCTGCATACTTACATATGCACATACTACATCTATAAATATACGTATACATACCTGTTTTTAATTGCTAAACTCGATGGCTCGTGTTCAGCAACGAAAAGCTTCCAAACAGACGGAGCACGCCAGCCATGCAAGGGGATAGCTTAAACCCCCCTGCGGAGAAAATCGACCCAGCATTTTGGCTGCGGAGTCTTCGACATTACACCGCACTCAAAACAGCAATAATTTCCAATCCCAACCCCTTCCCATCTGCCGTTCGGATTGCGAGCATGAGAATGTGTGTGTGTGTGTACATATACACACACACACACATATATATATATATATACACACATACAGACACACATCTTTCTTATGTGTTGCCGCTTGAACTGACACTTCATATATATATATATATATATATGGCCATGGCTTCTATGTGTGTGCATACGCATATATTTTTATATATACATACATGTATAAACATATACATATACATAGAGGCAGACAGACAGCCAGATAGATAGGCAAACGCACAGCCGTGTGCGTATGTGCCTCTGTGTGTGTGTGTACATGTGTTTAAGTTACTTTATATACATTTAGAATACATATGCCGATACACACTCCCTCGTATCGATTCGATCGCCAGCTGTGCTGCAGTCGAGCGGCTCTTCCTTCTTCAGAGCCATCTCCTTCCTTGCCTGGAACCAAGCATCGAACCTCTGGCAGACAAGAGCACGGCAAATTCAGCCAACAAAAGCCACGGCCGGCTGTCCGACAGATGCAACTTCGAGAAGCTCGCTTGCTGTGCAAACCAGATGCCTGATCACTGCAAACGCCATTAGTCCGAAGTAGGTGACCTGGAACATCACCTGTCAAGAAAAAAGAGTCAGCTTCACCGACACAGGCCACCCTGCTTTCGTGCTTTTGCCGCACCTTGAAGATGGTGGCCGCATTCTGGCCGGTGGAGCCGTCCCTCGGCTACAGGGCCCTCAAAAGCTCTCATGACAAGGCACGACTCAAACAATCACGACCGTTGATACGCTCCTATTGCGCAAGCTGCGCGAAATTCTTAACATGCTCATAGATCTTATAGCACTCGCACTCGAGCAATTCAGGCGAGGTTTGGGAGGCAGACCGGGAGTCACACCTCCTTTCGAGAGGTAACGGGGCGCATTAACCCCTTATGTGTTTCCAGAAACTACAGCACTACAGGAACTCAAGGTCACCAAACAAGAAGATTCTGAGTATTCGCATCCAGGTGCCACCAACATGCTTACGGGGGAGTGGGGCACTGCAAGAGACGACCTCAGCAAGCACGCCCAGCTGCGAGTTGTTGTCGTCGGCCACTTTGCTAAGAACGTCCACCACGTAGGTCGCCTGACATTGCAGTAATTATAGGAGAATGTTGTCCTTCTTGCTACAAGCAGCACTAGCGGTCATGTTCCTAAGGAGAATAAATTGCATCGTTTCGCAGTCTTGCAGTATGCCTAGCTACGAGTGTTGATGCCTGGTGCCGTGCTTTCACATCCATCCGGTTCACATGGCACTGCATATGACGAATTTCCAACCGCAGTCCAAGAACTAACTGGTTGAATGCGTAGCCAGTGCCCAAAAACATCGTAGATGGCAGTGTCCTCAGCTCGAACTTGAATAAGCGCACATGACGCGCCGTGCATCCGTGATAGTGCAGCTGCAGCATATGTGCCAGCCAAGGTTCAAGTAGCGATTCATAATCGAGTTGTTAGGAGTGGCTGCTGCCAGTTCCGCACCCGCACGGGAGACTGGAGGAAGATGCTGCAGGAAGGCCACCACGATTACCTCAGACGTACTCAAATGCTGACACGTGTGCTGCCGACACGCCGTCCTTTTGGTGCTTCAAGTCTTCTATACCAGGCGGTACACTGACCCTGCAGCTCTATGTGCGATCTCAGGCAATCTGTTTGATTCAGATTTCTGCAGACTCCCTTTTGCTCAGATTGGCTGCCAGTCCGGCAGTGACTGCCAGCTCATTCCACACGACATTGTTGTCCGGGTCTGTGTAGTTCAGAAAGTACTGTACCACATCCTTGAGAAGGCACACAAACAAGGCACCAGCGATGCACTGTCATCACCTCTGCGTTCGGAACCAGCAGTGTTTCGATGTGCTGTTGCCAGCTCTCATGGGTCCTTGAAGGCCCACGCCATGATCATGGGCAGTGCTTTCACCTGAAACGTTCCAGGAGTCTAGCCTCGTTACAGAAATTCGCAGGAAGCTAGTTCTAAATTTGGATCAGAACCACTCCGCAGATGAGGCTACCTGCTCTTACGTGACGAAAGGAGCAGCTGGCCCTAATGTCACGCAAAACCGGCAACACGTAGTCACGTGGATGCATATAGGCTTGCACTTCCACGATCGAACATGCCTGACTGCTTCGTAGAAGTGGGAAGGCCTGCAAGTCGACCAGGGCATGTCTCCGAGTGTACTTGTCGAAGTTGTCAACTCTGCCTCGGAGCAACTCCCAGCACCCCGCGCCTGCAGCGAGTTCTGAGCACAAACTCCTACTTAGTCACACAAAGACATGTCCCCTCACTGCCGACCTGCCATCTGCAGAATGGCAAGGCCGAGTGCCCCCGTGTTGCATTGCTCGTGCCAGTGCTTCCAGCCTGTCCTTCTTCCCTTCGATGTTTTCAAGTTGCAATTCCTTTCAGCTGCGTCACTGAGCCCTTTCTGGATTGGCGGAACGACGATGGCCAGGATGACGGCCTTTGGGCACGGATGCGCCATGCTCAGCTTCTGCGAAACTGCCTACTGCCTTGCTGACCGTGTGCATCACCAAAGCTTTTTGCCAAGGGACATAGATGGAATAACCTGATCTGCTGGCTGACCGAGCAGGAGCAGGACGACGCAACAACCGTTGGCACAGCAATCTCATGAGACGCACCCGCACACGTCGCAACACTAGCGCAGCTTGATGTAAATTGCAGAACGGCTCAACATCAATGAATCTCTTCGCAGCTCTTCATTTAGTTTAGTCTCTTTGGTTCAGCATGGGCTTTTTGTGCAGAGCTGCAGAGCAAGTAGAGCCCGTTCTGATTCGAGTCCAGGGTGTCATCAATCGATAGGAGGATCCGCTCGATAAGACGAAATGCGAACCTTAGGCTGACGTCACCCGTCACAGAGCGCATATTGTGGCTGTCAGCAGGGCAGCCTTATTGGCGAGTGCCTCTTTGACCAGCCAAGAAACTGGGAGAGAAGCCACGCATGCACGGTGCTTAAACACTTCGTCGCAAACATATTCATGACCGAGTCCTTGGATGCTCACAGTATACGCGATAATTCCGAGCGGAGTCGGACCCTGCCTGTGCCCGCTCTCGCTTGTGATCACGTTCTCGCAGTGCCTGCCCACGACAAGCAGCACGGCACCCCCGTACAAGCCACCTATCTGACCTATCTTCATGCGGGTGCGTCAACCCAAGATTCAGGGACGCCGCCTGGTTCAATGCTTGAAGGTTTGTGATGAACTCAAAATGATCCTGGCGGCACTGCTTCATCTCGCCTGACTACGCCGTAACTGTTGTCCGAAAGCTCCAGACTTGAAGCTGCTCTCACATCCCTCTGGCAGTGAACATGTGCGATGTCCTCGACCTCATCTTGAGTCTCTTTCAGCACCTCGTGATGAACATCCAGCTTTTGCTGGTTGGTGACCTCATCCAATCGGCGCTTTACCGCCTTGGCTCAGGCTTAAGAAGTTGCAGAATGTACTTTGATGTCAGGTGGAAGCAGCCGGATTGCCGACGGGAGGCTTCTGGATCAACCTGAACCACGAAGTCACGTGGTGCTACGTGGTTCAGGTCTATGGGAAGTGGTGACTTCTTCGCAGGCACTGCAAGCGCCTTCAAAACTGCTTTGGCCTGCGAGAATAGCTTCTCCTTTCTCTTGGCAGCCTTGTCCTGCGGCGCAGCCCAACCTACCCGTCGAGAGCTTCAAAGCTGCAGGATTCTGCAAGGCTTACGTCTAATAGGCTTCGTGCAAAACGAATCCTTGGTACTCACGGCTTTCGGTGGCATTGTGCGCCTCAGGATGTACATGGCTCCCGACAAGCAAGCTCTCGTGGCTGCAGGCAGCTCAGGCACTCCACGGCAGCGCTGCTGGCAACGCGTTGTGGCTGCCAGATGTAAAGGCTGGGACACATTGAGCCCAGCTCTTGCACACGGCAGCGAGTGTAACACGTGCCCTGCTCCGAGCTCTTCGTACAAGTAGCATCAGTCTTCACGAATGGCAACAAGAACGCGCTGCGGCTGGAAGCCTCTACTCGTGCATACGTACGCCATGCCGACACAGAACCACAAAACCCCTAACTCACTCACGTTGCAGGTCAGGACTTTATATGCAGGACACAAACACATCAACTTCAGGCCTAGGTCCAGTGCCAAAGCACTTCTTGCAGGCCTGCTTCGCGGTTCCGTTGCTGCTCTCGGCTGATCAAGTATTTCAATCATGCACTTAACCTGACGGCAGGGCACAGCCTCTGCCTCATGGGTGCCTTCGCTTCCTGATCCAGCCAGGAACAACGGTTCTCCAGATACGCACTAACGTCTGCAGCCTGGACGGCATTGGCAGCATCGCCGTTCTTTGTCAGAACCCTGACGGACACAAGCGATCAGCATCTGCTTAACAGAATAACGTGAGCTTGACAGAACCACAACAGCCAGGGAGCCCGAAATGTCGTCGTGGCGGCCGCTTGGTTTGTGGCATCGATGGTGGATGGGGCACTTGCAGCGTAAATGGGAGAGTGCTGGCCTGGCCCTGGCTGGCCAATAAGGCCCTCTGCGGGTGTTTGAAGCGGAGCCCCGAGCATCCCGAGGCCAAGGCCAGGGGAGCCGGAGGTGAAGGCTTGAAGGCGCTCTGCAGGAGTTGATCTTTCGGTGAAGCTGCATAGCGGGTTGGCATTGGCTGCTTTGAAGCCGCTAGATAATCGAGAGGAGCTGCAGTTTGCTCGAAGATGCGAGCCTCGGAAGAGTCAGACTTGGTGGGCAGTGGCTTGTGCAACCAGATCTGCACGTCCAACCAAGGCTATCAGCCATCAGAACATCAGCCCATGATGTTGAATGAAGCTGGCTGTTTGATGCAAAAACTGCAGCGTTTGTGCGAGAGATGCCGTGGTGCAGCTACTGCTAGTCCTCCTCCTCCTCCTCCTACTACTACTACTACGAATACTACTACTTCTACTTCTGCTCCTAGTACTCCTAGCACGCCTAGTTTTTACTGCTACCACTACTGCTACTACTGCTACTACTGCGACTACGACTACTACTACTGCTGCTGCTACTACGACTACGGCTGCTACTACTACTGCTACTACTCCTACTACTACTACCTACTACCTACTACCTACTACCTACTATCTACTACTTACTACTTACTACTTACTACTACTACTACTACTACTACTACTCCTACTACTCCAACTCCTACAACGACTACTCCTCCTACTACTACTACCACTACCACTACGACTACCACTACTACGACAACAACTACTACTACTACTACCACTACTACTACTACTGCTACTGCTACTGCTACTGCTACTGCTACTGCTGATGCTACTACTCATGCTCCTACTCCTACTCCTACTACTACTGCTACTCCTACTCCTGCTCCTACTACTACTCCTACTCCTACTCCTACTCCTACTGCTACTCCTACTCCTACTCCTACTACTACTCCTACTCCTACTCCTACTGCTACTGCTACTGCTACTGCTACTGCTACTGCTACTGCTACTGCTACTGCTACTGCTGCTGCTGCTGCTGCGGTTGCTGCTACGACGACAATGGACTACTACTTCTGCTACTGCTACTGCTACTACTACTACTACTACTACTACTACTACTACCAGTACTACTACTTCTACTACTGCTGCTACTACTACTACTACTACGACTACAGCTTCTACTACCACTACCACGACCACTACGACGACGACGTACTAGTACTACTGCTACTGCTACAACTACTACATCCACTACAACAACTACAACTACAACATACTAGAGCTACAACTATTTCTACTGCTACTGCTACTGCTACTGCAATTGCTACTACTGCTACTACTGCTACTAGTGCTGCTACTCCTACTTCCACTCCTACTTCTCTTCCTAGTCCTGCTCCACTGCCACTGCTACTGCTTCCACCGCCTCCTCTCTACTACCGCTGCCACTGCTACTTCTAGGCTAACGTGCTGCTGCTGCTTGCTCGCGCTAAAACACTGCGGCTGAACAGCTTCTGCCGCAGCTGCTGTTGGTGTCATCGTGACAAATTCCCATGAATGCGCGAAAAAACACCACAAGTGACGATTGATCATGAGCGAAGCGACTTGTCCGCTCAACGCGCCATCCAGAAGCTGACACATGTACCTGTCCGTGGCGAAGGCAGGCTCGCAGTAGAAATAAAGGATCAGGCAGCAGAACTTTATTGTTGCAGCCCAGGCACTTGAGGAGTGCATTTGGCTTTGGCGTGGTCCCTGAGCTCCTTTCTGCGCTCGTCTTCAGCTGAAGCCTCCATGGCTGAGAATCATAATTAGACCACCATGCAGCTGCACTGACCGACCCCTATCCTCGAAAGACGTTTTTGAGGAAGCGATGCATGGTGATGCATGTCTTAGTGCTGCTCAAGTTGCTGCACAGGTTCTTCGACCGCGGAGCGCTCCTTGTCCGAAAGTGAGAGTTTGCCAGTCACAATCACAAGGCAAACAGCAATGGGGACCTCGTTCCACTCGATGTCAAGGAAATCCTCTTCGAAGAACTCTATACTTTCGGCTTCCTGAGATGAAGCTTCTCGTCACCGGTACCAAACAAGAGCCTCCGACCTCGCCTCGGCCTCCAGAGAGAGCTCAAAGGCCGTGTGTTCCTCAATTGCCTTGGAAACGAAGCCGTGCTGGAGGCACGTCTGTTAATGCAAGCACTGGCAAGCCAAGACTCCCCATCAACAAGGCAAGAGATGAAGCTGTCGACCTTTCGGAAGAGATTCTGTCAGGTGTGCAGATCACGCTCAGGCAGCTTGCGGGGGCATGTTCAGGGTCTGCGTTACTGGCCCGGCTTGATCGGACTGCAGGACCGAAAAGGCCAACTGCGATTTGAACATGTGTGGACAAATGAAAGGCCTGTATCTCCATCACGCGGCTGAGGGAGTCTGCTACACTTGAGGGAGGTACCCTGCATCTGCTTGTTTGGGCCGAATATTTCAGCTTGCAGCAGAGACACAGTGCACTTTCAACCGTCACTCAAAGGCCCCGCTAGAGTCGTCCGTGCCTCTCCCAGCCAGGAGCTTGCCAGATTTAGCCAAGGATGGGTGCACAAGATTGTACAAGCACCCCTCAATGCTACTGGCTTGTACAAGACATGCATGCCCGGGCGTCTAGACAAGGATTCTGACACATGTTCCATCATTTTCCTGGCTTGCAAAACCCAGGGCACCGACCCGCACGCTCCAGGAGCAAGAGCCTTGAAAACGATCCTGAGATCGGAAGAGCATTTCAAGAGCTCGTCCAGATGGAAGCCTGCCGAGTGCCTCCTGGCACGCGAATGCGAATTGCCGTCGCGAAGCTTTGAAGCACCTCGCGGTCCGGCATCGTGTCGTTACCAGCTCCAGAAGACGGGACTGTGGCCCGGACCCAATCATCCAATGGCTCCCAAAGAGAGCCCGTGGGCGGCACAGTGAGGGTCTGCTGAACGCCTGGACTGAAAACGATCAGGAGCACGTCAGCCTCCTTCAGTGACATGAACGGCCCGGCCGGGAACTCCCAACTCGAGCGGGAACTCGCAAATGTTCACAGCCTCTGCCAACGAAAATTGGCACTCCCACATACTCCCATCGTGCAGGTCCGGTCCGGGGTACAACTACACCGCATATTCATCGTGGTTAGAAACTAAGATACTATAGCGCTTGAGCCTATTCCTATTCGCAACTAGTACTAAAGGATGTTCACTTCCTACTCGAGCTGCGACTAGCAGAAGAACCTCGGAAAGGCCAGCTGGTCAACAACCAACAACAAAAATAACTTTGAAGTAGCTGCTGTCTGCTTTTCTAGGGCATGTCTACCAATGTCCCTGCCGCATGCCAACAACATCCAACAACTACAGCTGATGTTTACAGGTTTGCTCGAGGTGTCAACTGGTTCAGAACACTTGCCAAAAGATGCTGGGCTGCTGGGGCCGAGACGCGGTATCTCGCACCACTGGCCCAACACACGCGCGCCCGCTGGCCTTCGAAGGGAACACCAAAAGTCAACAGGCCCCAAACCCATGGACGGTACACAAGCGCAGGGGCCTCTTTGGGCCTGGCTGCTGCCGGCCCTGGCCGCGTTCTGTCTTTCAACTCTGTCTGTTTCCGTTCGTAGGGAGACCGCCCCGTTTCATTTGCAGAAACAGTGGAGCTATGTGGAGCTCTGAAGCTTCTGAAGGCTCGAGCTTCGGAGCTTCAGGAAGAAAATTCCTCAAGCACCCCTGGCGTGCATTCTGCCTACAGCAAGGGGCAGAGCTCTTCCGAGCGAGGGGGGCGGGGTTCAATCGTTTACCTTGAGGTGCCTTCTGCCTACCCTAGTAATAGTAGTTAGGAGTGTTTTCTGATCTCCAAAGCCTGTCTTGCAGGCAAGAAGCTCGGATAGCAGCTGCAACAAGAAGCCCTCGGCCCGCTGCATCTCGAAGTGAGGCACTTCGAAGTGGTCGCAGATACTGGGAATGCCACGGTTTGCTTCACCATGGTCGGCGTAATGTTGACCTGGAAGGCGTTTAGGTTTCGGACTCCCGATCCGTTTGATGGAGCGAAAGATTTGCTTGTTCCAAGGCCAGGGCAAGCAGCGGACCCTTCCCGGTGAGGACCACTTGCTGAGCCTGACCTGAGCTGATGCCGAGCAAGTGGCAGCTGGCACGTTTCATCCGACATGCTTGAGATCGGCTCCCGTCACTCACAAGCTTTTCATAGTTATGCGAGCGGAGATCCCAAACCATGACAGACCATACCTGAAGTAGAAGCAGAGAGTCACGTCCGCCGGGCCGGTGATTCACTATGCTCGGTAAAATACAGATCGCAGCTACTTGCCATCTGTGTTTATCCGGCTCTTCGACTAGGACGAGCACACTAGGAGACCACCAAGCGACCGGTAAGAGTTCACCAGCGGGCACCAAGAGA